TCCCTTTTCCCGGACTGTCGACAAGTAATTTGGACGGATTATTTCTTGTTGTCGACAGTCCGGGCATAAACCGTTGATATTTAGTCCAAGGTTGCGCATGGTAGACTCGCTGGGAGATAAGGTTAAAATGTGTTAACATTGGTTGTTCGGCTGCACGTGCTGTCATCAAGCGATAAGGTCACACTGTGGGATTAATACGCGCTACAGTGTCACACTTGCAGTTACATGTCTATAACATTATGCAAAACAATGTGAAAACATCATCGAAATTGTTTGCAAGCAAGGGAAAAGTCCGTTCAAGTGACATACATGATAGCCAGTAGCAATCACTGCGACGGAGTATTCTGAACTCATATAAACACGATAAACGTTCCTTCCAGTTTGAGGACCCAAAATACGGCAGTTTTTACGGCCAGATATTCGTAACTACTCGCCTCTTTCCATTACCTACAAGAAGTCTCGTACCTGTATAGTACGCAATTATTGCCAAGAGTCGTGGCAAACCAATCAAATCGCTCTTAATGAATGTGGTGCTTTGATAAAAAATATTCCGGAGTAAATTAAATCGTTTATGGCATTATGTGATTGTTTAAAAAATCATAACAAATATGTATCGTCACATTGAAAGTAAAAAGAACGTAGCTAACTGAATCGTGTTGCCTCACCTGAAGTTTTTAATAAGGATAATGCCATGGACGGTGAGAGATTTAGATAAACGCACGGCCGTCACGGTTGCAATTGAGTGTATTTCTCACGGTCTTGTGGGCTTGTTTTTGGAGATTGTACGTGCGCTTTCCAACATTTTAGGAAATATAATCGTAAATCGCTACGAGTTTCAAAACAATCCTTTCAGTGAAAACTTCATCGGTATTATATGGTGTAAATAGCTTGCAATGCTATCTACTAAGTATGAGTTACGCGTTGATTCCGCAGTGTTTAACGCCGCACTCAGCAAGGTTTCGGGTACTTAACGGCGGTCTAAATAATCGAGTCTGGACCAGACAATCCAGTGATCAACATTATGAGCATCAGTCAGGAGAACAAAACAAGAAACAAAGTGATTTTATGTAATTGACAATTGTACTCTTAACTGTACTAGGTTTATACCTTAATACACATCACTACAAAGATATCATGTGGCAGAACAAATGCAGAGGCAATGCAATGCAAAAGTAGTGATTTTAGCAGTAAGACATCTATGATAATATTCGTTTCACTGCAAAAACGTTGAAGTTTCCCCCAAAATAGCCCAAGGCTGAATGTCCAGAGCAAGAATGATTGCAAGATTGCTGATCTTTCTGTAACTTGGGATGTAATGTAATGAGAGGAAAGAGGTAGCTCGGCTTTTTTACATTAGAAGGAGATTCCAGGAGATTCTCCAACTCCCTTTGTTAGAGCATAGAGGAATGGACTGGGGGAGGTTCATATACTTTTCATTATTTGTCCTGGCTAACCAAATGTAAACATTTGCGCGTGTTTGGATTAATATATCTTACGGTTCATTCTCAGGACGTGGACAACCTGAAATTTTGCATTCGCAGGACGTGGACAGACGGTGTACCTTTGATGTTGTCTGTTGTTTTTGTAAGGGATTAACTGATTGGGAAGTGTTAAAATGTGAACTGTTATCCGGAATTGCGAACGTTTCATGAAGTCTGAAGACGCTGAGTCCAGTGCCGAGTCTGTGTGACGAGGCTGTTGCATTCCTAAAACATGGCCCATGGACAATGGAGAACCGTTCCCTAGTCGCCTCCATGCCCACCTTCCACACCAAGAAAGACGTCTTGTACAGAGCCAGGCGAGCAACAGTCCCACCCCTGCCACCCCACAGACGAGATATTTACATCCCAGACCACTTCAAGCAGCTACCATGTGGAGAAGAATTCTTACTAATCGACGACGGCAGAGACAACATGACCCTCGGCTTCAGCACCACCTCCAATCTTGACCACCTCTGTGTAGTGCTGATATTGGCATACAACCTGCGATACGATACATCACGATACTAAAATTTTAGTCACGACGATATATAGTCACTGAAGCTGCGATACGATACGATACGAATCCCGATATAATGGTCGCGATACGATACGTATCACGATACTAACATCTCTCATTCTAACACCAACTGTAAAACACCTTAAGATCAAAACAAAACCATTTTAAAGTATGTCGTCAAATTCTGCCAGCCTTTTTTTAATGTTCGTTCGGAAACGAGATAATTAAGTTTAATCACGGACTTTGTGAATGTTAAAAACATGCGACCGCTATGTCTGACACAGTTCTTCACGCAAGAATTTCCGAGAAAACGTTTACTTATGAAGGGAAAATAGATATGCATATACTTTAATCATCAAACAAAAGTAAGTCTTTTTTCTCGACGGACATCGCGATTCGGCAATATAAACATCGATGTATCGTGGCCCATTTGAAGTATTGTATTGTTTTCGAGATGATCCTCTTCCTGGCAGAGGAGCAAGTGAAGACTGAATGCATCCTTTTCCAATATAAGGCCGACCACCGTCTTCCTCTCAAGAAGGCGAGATACTACAACATGCAAGAAAGATACGTGGCCCAAGTATTAATCTCCGTCCGTACGAATTGGAATATCTTAAGAACCGTTGACTAGATTCTTTCAAACATGATACCTAGGTTCATCACAGTATGCGAAAGGTCCCAGTCACGTTTGGTGACCTTGGCCTTCATTTCAAAGTCAGATTCGGCAGGGCCCAGTCGATTTGGGTGACTTCAACGTAATTTTCACGTAATTTTCATGGTCACAGCGACACTGAAGATTGCAGCATGTTATCCTGCATGTTAGGCTTATCAGCGAGATATCTCAGGAACCGTTCATTGGATTTTCATCATATTTGATACCAAGCTTCATATGGGGAAATGTGACCTTCACATCATTTTCAAGGTCACACCGACACTTTGAAGATTTCAGTATGTCAGCAAGATATCACAAGAACGGTTCACTGGATTTTTTTCATAGACTTTCAAGACTTCTCTGGAACGTTTTTTGATATGCAATTTCTTTATTACTATTTTTTGCATATTGCATACACCATGACATTCATGTCAAAGTCAAAGTCAGTCTTGAAAATATTACAGAACAAGATATCAAGAAATTTTGATTGGTCATGTTTTTGTTGACATTTAACTTCATCTTAAACTACCACCTTCACTTTCAATACTCTTTAAGTTGGATTTGATAATTTGAGGCGGGGGATTACGTCACCTTGGTGATAACTGCTTGCTAAAATTGTAAAAAATCCCCACTTGTTTCGTTTCCTTATAATTTCACAATCTAGTCTTGCAATCACACACTGTCTATTGTCTGGCGTTAATTAGTTCAGTAACCCATTTGCACGAAGTGGACACTTTTTCTGGACTTCGTTTTTACACGACACGGGGTGTCCACAGAATACCCGGCCATGTGCTTTTTATATCTTTAACGATCTTTATTTTAATGGCGAAATAACGATTCTAAAGTTCTCGTTTCCCCCTATGTGATAACCTATGACCACAACTACATGCGAATCTTTATTATCGATGAACCTCCTCTTGGTTAGCAGGTTTGGCCCACTTTTTAACGTCTTTCTGGCTACGGAAATTGGCCTGTGATGACGAATGGTCGAAGGTGCAGGTTACTTTATAAATTCAGGGGTAGGGATGGGGTTAAGGTTAACCTACAGTAGTTGGCCATAACTGAGTCATCATTAGCGAAATTTCCATAGACTTACATGTTAATTAACTGTTGCAAGAATAATTTTCATAACTTGAGTAGAAGTCATTTTATTTCGATATTTAATCTTTCCGCTGATTAGTTATCAAATGACACCTGATTAAGAACCATATATAAGTACAACTTTTAATCTATCCCATAGACAGCCATGTTAAACCTGATTGGTATGTCTAATAGATGTTGTTTAAATAGCTGGAGTTTTCTTAATATTCATCGGAAAATTGAATGGAAATTATGTGTATGTAGCTGAGGTGATTTCCCAGCTGGTAGATAAGTATTGAAAGTAATTCGAATTTCTGAAACTAAATTTATGAAAATTATTCTTGCAAGAGTAATTAACATGTTAGTCTATGGGAATTTCACTGATAACTCACTTGTCCAACTGCTGTAACTCTATGTCTGACAGCCGTACCAGGATCCGATGGAAGAGGCTTATCATCTGCGATTCATTCTAGTTAATGGGCCTTAGTATGTTATTAGTTTTCAGCAGTATCACAGAGTAGAATTTGGTAGCTTAATTTCAGGGGAATGCCCCATGTGATCAAAGTTAAACCTTTACTGCATAGACAAAAACAACCAGAGTCATACTGGAATCGAATCCAGGATCAAATGTTGATCCATCTGAGATACAAACTGCATCGCCTTCGACGCCACCCAATAACTGAATATGGGACTCCTTTCACGAAGCAACCTTTACTAAGGTTACCCTTAACTCCCATTCTTTAAGATTGTACTAAGGTAGTGACTTACGATCACCAGAAATGGCTTCAAACATTGTACCCATGTATCGAATTGAATCCAGGTCTTCCGCGTGACGAACGAACGCTTCAATCACCATGCTACCTCCGCGGCCCCAGTGATAACAAGAGGTGAGGTGAGGTGAAATTGGGTTTAACGTCGTGCTTGAGAATATTTCGCTCATATGACGACGTGCATGCGTGTGTATGTGTATGTGCGGCTGCTTGTACTAGCCCAGACTGAAGCTGGTTTTATAGTGCTAGCCCACTGAGATACCACGCCGCAGTGAAGCACGAATACCCCACTCAGACACATTATACTGACTCCGAGCCGAACAGTCCTTGTTGTACCCATTAATGCCGAGCGCCAGGCAGGGACCAACAAGTACCATATTTTAACGTCTTTTGGTATGACGCGGTCGAGGATCGAACCCGCGACCTTCCGCTCTCCGGGCGGACGCTCTAACCACTACACCACGGAGGCGGTCTTGTGATAAAAAGAAACATGAATTATGTAAATTTCCTTATTTATTTGTTTCTTGGTGATTTCAACACGGACATGATACAAACAACAGAAGTGAGTGATAGAAACAGGTAGAGTGTAACACTGATCAGCAGTTGTTGGGTAAATAGTTTATCAACTGTCGAAACAAACGAAAATAGTATATAGTAATGAAAGATATAATTCTTCCTCTTCGTTAAAGCAATCATAAGAAATACTTCTTAAAGCAATTGCTCAATTGAATGCATCCAAATACTTGACATTTCAACACGTTTAAGCATTTCTAATATTATATATAATATGCATGCATACATTCTTTGAGCAACCCAAAATCACAAACAGCAAATACTTTTTCGCCAGTCACCACTTGTCCGTTCCCATTCGACATATCACAGAACGACTGAACTGCTGCTGTCTAATTCACGAGCTACCAAGAACAATGTTTCACAAAACGACATGGTTTTACGTTTTACGAAACAAGTTCTGGATTAAGAAGAAGGAAGATGAAAGAAACTGAAATTCTACCATAAAATCAATAAATACTGTTCTTGGCACTGCATCAGTTAATAGTATATGAGTGAATTTAATTCAGTGACTGTTTTGCAGTGTTGCTCCAGTCACAGATGATTTCAACATACAGTGCCGATATTGAGAGCATGCCGGATTGGAGGGATGCCGGTTTTGGGGGCTTCCACTGTATTGATAAACAGATGCGCTGATCTATGATGGTCCCATAACAGTCACAACAGGGAAATTTTTGTTCCAGATATTGAGTGGCCCATGGGGGGCCAAGTCCATACTCAACAAAACTCGGTTGAGACAGACATCTATTTTCAGATTGCTTTTTGCTAAGGCTAAGACCGGTAACCCGGATACACGGTACGGGTAGGTAATGAGCTGGACCGGGTACCCGTCTCAATACCCGGACCCGTTATAATAATGTGACTAATAGATTAAGAGATGTAATATGTTATTGTATCATGATTAAAACGTTACATTGTCTTTGAAAATTTAGAAAACAATTACAGTTACGATATACTGCCATCTCTTACAAAATTGATGTCAGGAATTAACATAACGTGTAGGGTAGGGTAATAGGGGGTGGGGTACCCAGGTAGAAAATTTGGACCCGTCCTGTCCCTTCTTGTTGCCAAAGCTACTAGGATGTGAAATTTGGGGAAAGCCCCAATGTGCATGAAAAAATACTTGAGCTGTTTTGGCCAACCGTACATTCTGAGACACATGACAATGTTAGCAGAGAGAGACGAAGAGGAACATAATTTATAAAATGAAACAACCATTGTGTTCTTTGTTTTCCCAAAACTCCCACATACATACTTAAAAAACGTTGTAGGAGACTCTTTGCAAGTGGAGAGGCCATTATGGTCCCAACTCTATTGTAGTTTAAGGCAGCACGCAGCAATATTCCAACTTTCTCGCAGACTTTTTTTTTAAATAATCGAGTCTTGACCAGACAATCCAGTGAATGATGGAATCATTTCAAGCATGTGGGATACAATGACCTGTGTCAACCAAGACAGAGCCTGACCACCCGATCCCTCTTATGGCAAGCATGGGTTGCTGAAGACAATGATTGAGTTTTCTTATGTCGCAAAATGATGAAGAACAAATTGATAATGGTTACAACAATTGTTTAAAAGAAAACAAATAAAAATTAAAAAATAATCTGCTTTGTAAAAATACAATGCCAAATATACATGTAATGCCAAGTCACTAACACCGAAGATGAAAAAGAATTCACAAAAAATCCAAACTTGTACATTTTTACCTCAACTGATAATTGAGAGAGTCGTGTACAACAGCTGGGAACGGAGATAGGACAGATTTGAGCCGAAGAGAAATCCTCAGTGTCATGCAGCATAGGCCCTAGTCCAGCACAGTATATATGTATATGGAGGTGGAGAGGTTGAGCAGATAGAAGTATAGCTTTGAGCTCTTCAGATAGACACAAAACACAAAATACCAGTACACTATTTACAATGTGCTGTACACTATATACACACCTATATGCATACTCTACATTTAACATGGTCCAGTCAGACTATCTAGCACTGTCCAATCACAAGTCCTGCACTCTCTATTAAGAGTACTACATTTTGCAGAATTATTGTCAGAACAAATCAACACTCTATATTTATCTTACAAAATGGCATCATGCCTCTGAGGCTTGGAATAATGAATATCGCATTTTGCATGTGACTTCATGCAGGATTAATCATTTCCTTAATGCATAATATGTTTGTACCATACAATATCAGTTGCTGAAAAAGCTCAAAACAGTATTTTTCATACAGAATTGATTTTCACATTTCATTTGTCTATTTGTTGCTTTAAAACGCATTCAGCAATATTCCAGCTTTATTCCAGCTGATTTGAATACATCAAAACAATTAGGAAATTGATTAATCTACTACCACATTTCAAAATTTGAGAAAAACATCAAATGACACAACCTAACTCAAACCACAGCTGGTTTGATATTTTACCCGCAATTGTTATTTCTGACACTACACAAGAAAAAAACAACAACTTATTTCTGGTTGTCCCTCTGATGGACATATTATATTACTGGCAAAACTCCTAGTTTTATTGCTTCTGATAAAACTCCTCTTATGTTCTCATAACCTTGTTTTGACCATCTTGTAGCAGGTTTACAGGCAAACCAGTCAACATGTGGTAGGGCTGGTTACCTGGAACATCAGCTGGCTATTCCCACCAGTATCTCTATATGCATTCAAACTCACCCTACCGATCAGAATCAACCCCTATCTGTTTAAAGGTCTGACAAAGCTTCCTCTACAGTAGGTCAAGTCAGAAATCCCCAATATATATGGGGCTTCTAAATGGTATGGGTTGGAGGAACAGTCAAAGCATGACATTATATTTCTGTCTGACATATGTTCATGCTTATAAGGCAATTCAGAGTGGACAGAAGTGAAAACAATCTAAAACCCTGTTCTTTTCTACATACCCAACAAGTGCACAGTATTTGTTTTGAGGAAAAATTCCTTCAGAAAACGTCTCATTGACTTAAAACCCCCTTCATTCATTTGAGTCTAAAAGTTTGCTCTTAGATCATTAGTTGGGACCTCTATCAGGTTTGTCTGATCTTAACCCAGAGATACACAGAATCGGAGTAAAAGACCAAGCCCGTTCCACAAAGCAAGTTCACTGAAAAGATTATCACAACTCCCATACTTAACCCAGGATTACTGCAATATAGTCACACTGAGATCCATTTTTGGAAAGGTGCCTCATTTTGATGAGACAGCATTCCAAATCTCATCATGATCATCTTCAAATATTTCTTGTCAAGATACCACAGCTTGTATCAACCACATAATCAATTTGAATGATGCTTCCTGTGAAGAACAGCCTTTTGTTCCTGAAGGAGTCCATTTAGGTCTATGGCACTGTCATGGTTTCTTGTTAAACCTCCTGCTGCATATCCTAGTTATATCCCAACTGGAAGATACAGTCCCAGCTATGGTATACGATATGTACAGGCAGTATATACAGGTCAGCAGTCGGTTGAGTGGGACATCTTCCTCCGCCCTCGCAGCTGCCTCTGTACAACGTTGTGGACATCCACCTTCTCGGATATAGGCGGCTGTAATCACAAACACTAAATCAGACAACAGCTGGACAGATAAGAAAGTCACACCTCACAGAAACAGTCCAGGAATGGGTGCTGTTGTACAAAGTGACCTTAGCTTTAAGGTGACTGTAAGTGAGGTGAGGTGAAATTGGGTTTTACGTCGTGCTTGAGAATATTTCGCTCATATGACAACGTGCATGCATGTGTATGTGTATGTGCGACTGCTTGTACTAGCCCAGACTTAAGCTGGTTTTATAGTGCTAGCCCACTGAGATACCATGACGCAGTGAAGCATGAATACCCCACTCAGACACATTATACTGACTCCGAGCCGAACAGTCCTTGTTGTACCCGTTAATGCCGAACGCCAGACAGGGACCAACAAGTACCATATTTTAACGTCTTTTAGTATGATGCGGTCGGGGATCGAACCCGCGACCTTCCGCTCTCCGGGCAGACGCTCTAACCACTACACCACGGAGGCAGTCCTAAGGTGACCGTAACTCCCATCCCTTAACATAGACTCAAAGTAGCCTTAGGGCTAAGGTTGTTTTGTACAACACCCAGGTTGTTAATTTAGCAAGTTATTTCATTATATGTTAAGGTGTTTCAGATCTACAGGAGGAAATCCTGAAGAGATGCAGATCTTAGCTGTTTACCATGTGTTGTTATCAGTGAGTGGTATGTACGTTGCTGACAAACCTGGCAACATAGTAAGCCTGTATTGGTCACTTTAACCCATGATCATGTATTGTAATTTCTCAAATGCTGACAATTTCATTACATTACACATTAGAATGTCAACACATTCCATGAGCTACACAAGTACTCTGACAATAAACAAATGAACTAAAATTTAATCATGAACGTTAAACTTGTACATCACAGTACCTGCCAAAATGCAGTAAAATTAGACATTGAAAAAAGGCTGCCAGACAAAAGAAACCCCTTTAAATACCATTTTAATGAAAAGGATGTTAAAAACTTAAAAACTGGCCCTGGGCCCCATTTCACAAAGCTATCCTAGCTCTACGACTGTGGTAAGTCTATGCTACTGTATAGGAGGGGGCCCCTATTCTCGAAAGTGTCCCAGCTAAGACAGATCCTAAGTAGTTAAGACAGAAGTTAGGACATCCTACCGTTATGATAAGACCCATTCTCGAAACGATCCTATCCCTGTCCTAACTTGTGCTGCCTATCCTAGCTAGGATAGCGAGCTCTTCAGTAGGTGAGATAGAAAAACCCTCATTAAGTTGGGGATTCCCCTAAATATTACCCATGATTCATTTCATAAAAACACATAATATGAGGAAAATCAGCTTTTGATGGACTTAGTAGATCTAGAAGAAATTATTCGATATTTTCATCACATTATATAGTAGTTTTGAAGTTTTTGAAAATTCATTTTTTGACAAGGCGATAACATTTCTACTTCAGAGTTTGAAAGTCTGCCAAAAACAATAAGGATATTAAAGATATGTGCAAAAAATATTTTCATTGTATTTGTTTTTTATGAAAATCATCATTTGAACTCTCATTATGCATCATCTCACAAACTGAAAAATTCACCTAGGAAATAAACAGGATCAGAGTTACTTCCCCTATCAAGTTGGCCTTGACATTGACATTTCACGGCAATGTGACTGGAAAGAGCAATGTTGTGATTAAAAAGGCCGAGAATAGGTAAGAACTGAACAAATCTCTTTTGTAGATCTAAAGAATATGTGCATCGCAACAAGTGTGTCTATTCATTACCGATAAATTGATAATATAAACTCAAAAAAACTCTTCTTAACACATCAAAACTGTGTGCTCTTGTAAATTCAAATGTAATTCAGGCGAGTTATTTTGTTTGACAACGTCAAAATTGGTGAACAAACAAGAACCACACCATGTTGATTTCCACTAAGATAGACTTAGGACAAGTCAGAACCTATCCTAGTATTTGTCCTAAGTTAGGATATCCTAGCGCTAGGATACTTTTCGAGAATAAGGTAGGACACCTATCCTAGACCCTAGGATCAAAGTTAGGATATCCTAGGGCTAGGATCCTTTCGAGAATAGGGGCCCAGGTCAGATATGTGATCACTAGGGCTGGCTAACTTGATTGATAATTGGAAATATGATCGAAGGGAATAATTATTAATGATTATCGATGTGAAAATTGTGTAATCGATAATATCATAAATGAACCATTGAGATGAAATAATTATAAAATGTACTCACAAAATACACAAAGTTAGGTCTTAGTCATTGGCTGCTTCTAAAGCATGTCCATGATGGCATTTTGTTGGTAATCCAAACCTTAATACATCACCACTCACCACTGATGTGAAATATGTTGACGTCTTTCATATATCTTATTTATTATTTTTTTATTTATCATTGGATATTTATATAGGGCACATATCCACGCACTAGTGCATGCTCAAGGCGCTGGTATTTTTTCCCCTCGATCATTGGATGTCAGTCTCAACAGCACATCTTATCATCAATCTCAACTCCCTGAGGAGCATACAACTCTTGCTGCCACAAGGCGCACCGAGTTAGTGTGGCTTTCCCATCGTTACGAGGTACCCAACCACAGCTGGATGGACTGGGACACATAGTCACAGTACTTTGTCCAAGTTTTACTGCACGTTGCTGTACCCGCAACTAGGTGTTTGCACGTACTCATGTGGCCACCATCTGGTCATATACCAACGGATTCATGGGTTCTTTTAAGTGCACACGGTTGTGTACTGTACACTAGGGGTTGTGACAACACTGAAAGAGTGCACACAAAGTTGACTCCAAGGTTTTTACACCCGGTCACATGTGGGCTCGATCCCGGCACCTCATGCCCGCTGGGTCACTAGCCTGGCGCCTTAGCCAGCTCGCCCACCACGCCCCACTTCTCTGATACTTATTGATAATCGATTCATAACCAGTGCTAGTGGCCACAAGAACCCATCAGTTTACCGAAATACCAGCTATGATAGGTTGCTTAGTTTGTCGTTTAACACCGCACTCAGCAATATTCCAGCTATATGGCAGCGGTGTGTAAATAATCAAGTGTGGACCTGACAATCAAGTGATAAACATAATGGGCATCGTTTTACGCAAATGGTATCCAGTAAAATGCTTCAACCAATTCAGCGAGCCTGACCACCCGATCTTGTTAGTCGCCTCTTACGACAAGCTGAAGACCAATTCTAAACCCAGATCTTCACAGGTCACCAGCTATGATGATAAAGATGACATGATAGGGCACTCTGGCAGCTGAAGGACTGAAGTTTACTGATTTTCTTGGTCTACTCACAACAAAAGGCGCACAAGCAAAGGGTGCAGACACCTCCTCCTTGTACAGATTCCTCCTCCCTCGCTTCCCCTTCTTGTTGGATGACTCCGCCTCCAGCTCCATCGTATTCGGCTCCCCACCATCTCCCATCGTGCCTATGAATTTCTTAGCTGCAGCCAATGTTTTAGACGATAAGCGTGTTATTTTTTCCCAGTCTGTGATACACAATCACCATCACCAGAGAACAGGGAAAAAGCCAGGTGTTATAGTGCAAGACGGAGTAGTGAACCACGTAACGCGGGGTGTTGAACATCGATGTTAAGTCCACGATGGTCGACCAGCATCACAAGGACCATCAAATATGGAATCAGTCCATCGTTCACAGGTGTTACAGGTGTTGAACAGGTGTGCGCAGGTAGATTAGAGGCAGGTGGGGGTGGTTAGCAACATCAAAGGGGAAAAGGGAAAGAAGGGGAAAAAAAGAAACAAACAACTGTTAGAATTATTTAACAACATCAGATATCAACATCTATATGGTCTTATCATCAAGCTTTATTTTGTTTAACTGAAGATGAACAGATTGTTTACAGATAGGAGTGCTTTATCAACACACCTTAGTACCCTTTTCGCAGAAAGAAAGGACAAAGAAGGATAAGGGCCCATAAGTTGCTGAATATTACTAAAAAACTTCTCACATGTTCCAATGGCTGTCAACCAGCCTTGTTATCTTTTTCATCCTTAAATAAGTGGTAAAAAGTTGATATTTTGAACTTTCAGATTCAATCTAACTAACAGAGATTTTGTGACCCAAGGGGACTTTTTTGCCATATGTTTAATTTACTGTTTCTATTTTAATGTTATAATATAATGAGTCAGGATTAGGAAAAATATCAGCTTTGGTCAAACCTGCTCATGTTCAAAGATTAAAAAGTCACTTCCAACAGACCTCTAAAATAAGCCTTTTGGGGTTTCTTATGCAGATGCTGTTGTCATTAGTCCTAAACATGAGATTATGACCAGCCTTAGGAGTCTATTCTACCATAGGTGTATATGGCAGAAAATGTCATGGTAGAACATTCCAGAATTTGTCTCAAACGATTGTGAAGCTGAAGCACAAAAGCTGAAGCAATGTTTGCTTAATGTTTGTTTAATGTTTATTCTGCAGTAAGTACATTCCAGCTATATTGCAGCGGCCTGGAAAAGCCTATGCTAGACTAACCAGTGATTGATCAGATAATCAACCTCCAACGTCATCGGATTGCCACAGCATGCACTCAAACAAACCACAGAAACTGATCAGTCTACACTCACAATAAGCATTGCCAAGGAGGACATACTTAAAACCAGTTTTCCGTTGTGAGTAAGAATGGTTTAATAGTGAGTGAGTTTATGCCATTTTATGACATTGAGCGAGTGAGTCAGGTTTCATGCTGTTTTTAGCAATATTCCAGCAATATCACAGCGGGGAACACCAGAAATGGGCTTCACACATTGTACCCATGTGGGGAATTGAACCCGGATCTTCGGCGTGACGAGCGAATGCTTTAACCACTAGACTACCCCACCACCCTCAGATTTCTTGAATGAATGACTTTGATAAATGAAATTAACTGGAGTATGATGGATGTGAGTTATAGGATGAGGTAACTATGGTGACAAACCTGATCTGGTGACAGGAGAGTTGGCTATTGCCGTAACAATGTCTCCGATTTTTCCCTTTGCAACCTTCTTCGCTCGTCGGGATGGTCGACTGCTTTCCTCCTCCTCCTGAAAGTCAGAGGAAACAATTAGCATTAATGATAATCATAAATTGTATCGCTGACGAAAGGGAGAGAAAGTGTTATTGAACTCTTGTCTCAACTATAACAAAAAAACATTCCTGTGACAAACACTATTCTGCTCATACTAATGTATCAGAGCTATCATACTTTCCAGTTGATAATGATAATGACATTGATATAATGCACACTTCATTTTCTGTTATCCTCGATAATCTCCAGGGTACACGCACGTTACGATCACTCTCCACTATACCCTGGATGCATCCACGGCTTGGCCCGATAATTATATTACCCCCCTCTGCTGGCTCCGCATTCTCATAGTGGCCAATCAGCTAAGCCGCCGTTACATCCGACCTTGCAAGTGTCAACAAAGATAGCGGTCGCAGTCGCGAAGGTTTGTTCGCAGTGCCACTCAGATTTTTCGGGAAATTATTATTATTATTATTGTTATTATTATCAGCCAAGGGAGGTAATAAAATCCTCGGGCCAAACCGTGGATGCATCCAGGGTATAGTGGAGAGTGATCGTTACGTAATACCCTGGAGATTATCGAGGATGATTTTCTGTGTGCTCTTTAATCTGTAGTCTAAATTTGGCAGACAACAATTTCTTGACATGATTCATATAAATTTAATTGTGATGGTAGTGGTCATGGTGGTGGTAATGTAGTAGTAGTAGTAGTAGTTGCGGTAGTAGTTGTTGTTTGTTTTGTTACCACTCAGCAATGTTCCAGCTGGAGGACAGAGGTGTGAAAATGATCAAGTCGAAAAAGAGACAACACAGTAACTAATAACATAAGCACTGACTAAAGAGATTGGGAGGTGATGACATACGTCAACCAAGTCAGCTAGTCTGACCACCCTGACCTGTTAGGTGCCTCTTGTGACAAGCTTGGTTTACACTGGAAACCAATTCAAATCCGGATCTTCAATTTGGATTTAAAATGATTATGATCATTTCTACATGTTTGACTTACAGCTATTGCCATGAGATTCTCTGTTGGTGGAGCCTCTGCTTCTTTTTTAATTTGAGGAGGTCGACCTCGGCCCCGCTTTGACTTCGGCGTCTGGAACAGAGGCAGTGCAAATACTCTCAAAACAAGTACATGCTTCATAGGTTTGTATGCACTTTGTTTCTGCATAATATATATGATAGGGGTGACTATCGAGAGGGAAAAACTATTGCGATAGCGATAGTCTATTGCAACATACTATTGCGACCAGCTATTGCAATAGTTTTTCTCTCCTGTCTCATTTGAAGTCATTTCCCAAATGAATGTACAGTTTATATGAAATAAAAACAAGCTGAAGTACTTTCAGTCTCGTTTAATAACTGTCACGAAACTTGAAATCCAGATCAAGATTGTTTAAGAGGTAACTGGGCGGATAACTCTAAATCAAAGCGAACGAATCTGGTACTTCCTGTATTTTGCGCTTTGCATTTATCACCGGAGGTCAATTACTAAACTATCGATAGTCACACATACTATTGATGCATCGATAGTTTTTAGTTTCTACCATCGACTAATTGCTATCGGAGACTCAACAACTGCAATCCAACGATATTTCGATGCATCGTTACAGCCCTAATATATGACTGATTTATGGAATGTCACTGACATGTATCTCAGTCAGCTAATATAATAAGCCTGTGAGTATGTCCAAACTGTGGTGTAGAATTGCAATGTGTAGAACAGGCCAAATAATACCAAAATAATCTGGGCCCTCATTAGTCAAAGCCCTCACCAGTTTTCATCTCACTAGTGAGTGTGAGTGCCTTTAGTTTTACGCCGCTTTTAGCAATATTCAAGCTATATCACGGCGGGGGACAGCAGAAATGGGCTTCACATATTGTACCCATATGGGGAATCGAACCCGGGTCTTCGGCATGATGAACGAACACTTTAACCACTATGCTACCCTACCGCCCCTTCGTCACACGAGAACCACTCAGTGACAAGAATCGTTCAAAACAGAGACTACATCATTTAGTGTCTGTACATCAGGCGCCTTGAAATGGGTCTCAAGGCTGCTGTCAATGATTATTGCGCTTATATTGATGAAAATGCATCTGTGTTGCAAGTTGTACTAGTCTGGATATTCTGGTTTTATACTGCTAGCCCATTAAGATGGCATACCACAATTTTACCACCAGTGCCAGTTTTATCGTCAGGATCAGGATCGAACAACATGTTACTAGACCTCAGATACAGTCAGCAGCCACAGGTAAGCGCAGGTAGAAGAGCATGGTGTCTTTTCTAAATAGAACTCTCTCTGAACATGAGACACCTAAATCGGAGAAGTCAGCATCCTGTTTGCTGTTGTACCTGTTCTGGAGCGGGGGATTCTTCTTGTGCCGGCGCTCGTTTCCTCCCAGACTTCTTGATGGCCTTGGCAGCTATTGGGGGCGTGGCATCCATCTCCTGATGGCCGTGTGTAGGCTCATTGTCATTGATGAAGCTCGGGTCCATTCGTGGGGGCTTTGGGGGAGGGGGGACTCCCTGTAAGGCAAGTCAGTTATTAAAATCAGAGCTAACCAAGATGACTTGGTCAAAACAGAATTTATCAGTAAATAAGTTGATTTTTGGCTGTTAATACTGACTTAATTCTCACCAAAATAAGATACATGATTAAGGATACTGATCTATAGCTTGATCAGATTTTCTCTGCCCATACCAACTCTGGAAAAAACCTACTGTGTTAAAAAATTTAAGGAAGTCTGTTTAGATTGAACAGCAACAGCTTCTTTTTGAGGAAAATAAATAGTTAAATGATCTCATAAATACCTTCCACAGATACTCAATTATCATTTAAATTATTAAGGATAAAAAATCCAAAATGATCACATAAAATCACATAAATTTCTTCTGCAATATACACTCCATTCCCATAAAATGTGTACAGCTATTTTCTGAGATATATTTGAAGCTGAACTTCAGGAAAGGTCCAAAATGCAATATAAACAAGGCAAGAATGAAACCAAGCACAAATCTATCATGTATAGCACATACAGAAATACCTAATGAGTGAGTAAGTGTTGCTTTATGCACCATCAGCAGCATTGAAGCTATTCGTGGCTCAGAAATAACAAAGGACCACCATGAGCAAAGCAATTCCCATATCCAAATATCCATGCAAGAGTACAATAGTGACAGAAGACAGAGAAATCTAAGGGACCATTAATAAATTAAGGCTAGGGGGAGTGATGATGAATTTAATTTCCCCCAAAAAAAAAATAAAAATAATAATAATAATAATAAAAATAATATATATATAAATAAATAAAAAATAAATATAAATAAATTTAAAAAAATAAAATAAAAATAAATAAATAAATAATAAATAAATAAATTAAATTAATTTAAAAAACTAAAAAAATGAAAATAAAATCAAATATATAAATTTATATACAAAATAAGTGACACCCCCCACCCACATGCAATGTAAATAATCAATGAATCAATAGGGTATGCTAAAGGAAGCAGTAAACAGAGTCAAGTAAGCCACAACACAAAGTTAAGAAATATCACACACATTCTTCAAAAGTGCATCTTAGAATTCAAACAATTATGTGTTTGAAGCATATACAGTATTATTGTGCAGTTTAGCATGAGGCAGCAGAACACGTTTCCCTGTGCAACATGCAGCATCCACCACCACTAGCAACAACAAAATACATCATGCTTATTTTTAAAGGCCATGATACATCCTGGATTGCAAAGTATCCTTGACAGTCAATTTTAGGAAAATATATTATTCAGCTGAAACTTGTCAGTGCAATACAAGTCACCTGTACAAAGTCCTAACATAACTTATTGCTGTTTAACGTGAGTTCCAATTCCAATTTCACAATATTTTCTGTCTCACTGACTTGGTTGACATATGTCATTTATCTTAATTGCGTAGATCGATGCTCATGCTGTTGATCACTGGATTGTCTGGTCCAGACTTGATTGTTTACAGACCGCCGCCATAAAGCTGGAATATTGCTGAGTGTGGCGCAAAACTATACTCATTCACTCACTCGTAATATTTACTGACATTTGACATCACGCTGAGTATTGTCCAGATAAATTGTTGAAAGGACATTGTGCCCTGTGACATTGTACACAAGCTATATATTTAAAAGTAGGCGTCTCTGAATTTTACCATACATATTTTTTTAATAGACTAACTTCATAACTGATATCTTCCATTTCTCACTTTAAAAACAACAAACAACACAAACATTAATAATGCTGCATGCATACCTGTCAGATTGACGAATGCAAGGTTGAGAAAATATGGTCATTTGGTATTTTGTGTAAAAACACAGATATAATGAAAAGAATCCTCAGGAAGGCTCTAGCATAATTTAATGGACTGTTTTGTCACAATGTACTGTAGAAGTCTTCTGAGAAAATAAGATGACATTCAAAAACGTGAGAAAAATTCTGCTGTTCAATGACTCATGTAAATGATAAGACCAACAGTCAAACACAATCAAGCTTCCACAACGCAAAATTTGTGACCATTCTCAACCTAGCATGTCACCTGCTACTTCACTGTTACTCACACCCACGCATAAACGTCATGTGACAATGTAGACATCCGTGTGCTGTTATGAACATCATGTGACTCATGAACGACAAATCATCATCATGATAAAACGGCAAATTGTGTTGACAACGGAAAGAGTTGTGACAAGCTCCACACAAGCTGCAGTGCGTAACGTGTGAGTGGGTGTGGGTGTGGCCATGCCATGAGTACCTGCAGTGCTGCCACCTGTACCTGTAGGCGATTGTTGGAACACTTGAGGTCCGCCACTATCTGGTCGCTGGCCTTCTGCAGCAGCCGCATCTGTCTCTGTAGCTCCAGCTTGTCCTCACGCTCCTGCTCCAGCTGCAACATCGTCCACATCAATAGCAACATCGTCAGTATCATCCTCAATAACATAGACATCCTCTCAATCACTGACATCCTCACCATCTCAGGGCCGTATCGGCGTATGTACGGATAAAAAATATGCATGATACGGTAGGAAATAATTTAGAAAATGTAGCAGATACGCACCACAGCAATGGTGTACGTTCTTAGAATCATTTATAGACGTATTTATCTGAAAAAAGTATTGTTTTATTGTGTATTGACCTGTTTACACAAGAGTAGCAATGTTGTGGTGCATACATGAAACGAAACACAAGATTACTGATAGTCCATTAACTTCCATTTAGTACTCTAAATGTACACTTAAGGTTTTCCAGTACTCCGTATTGAACAAATAAGGAGTACGTACTCCTGATGTTGAAAAATTATCTGGAGCCCTGCCATCTCTTGCAACATTCAAAGATCAGCATAGTCAATATCAGTGACATCTTTAACATCACCGACAACATCCTTATCATCATCACTCACTCACTACATCTTCAACACATAGGTCTTATATTGATCTCATCGAACCTGTTTCCTGAGCAGCTCTAAGTCAGGGTGGGAGGCGACGGTCGACCTCTTGCGACCTCGGTTGCCACTGCTCTGTTTGTTCTGTGAGGTCATCATGTGCTCCAGATTGAGGAGCTTCTCCTCCAGCTCCACAATCTTCATCTCCTTCTCTTCCATCTGGGACAGAACCTCATCCTGGGGGACATTAACAGAGGGGATGCTGAGTGGGGACAGCCTTAGGGGACATACTGGAGAGGACAGGGACAGCCTTTGGGGGACATAAACAGAGGGGATGTTGAGTGGGGACAGCCTTTGGGGACATAGTGGAGAGGACAGGGACAGCCTTTGGGGGACATAAACAGAGGGGATGTTGTGTGGGGATAACCTAGGAGAGAACATCAATAGCCTTTGTGGGACATATAAGGGAGGACAGGGACAGCATCTTGGGGGACATAAACAGAGGGGATGCTGAGTGGGGACAGCCTTAAGGGAACATACAAGGGAGGACAAGGACAGCATCTTCGGGGGAATAACAAAGGAAGACAGGGACAGCATTTTTGAGGACATAAACAGAAGGGATGTTGAGTGGGGATAGCCTTTGGGGGACTTACTGGAGAGGACAGGGACAGCATCTTGGGTGACATGCAGGAGGAAGTGATTGGGGACAACCTCTTACGGGATATACAAATGGGAGATTGAGAGAGTGACTCTCAGACTGAGGTGACAAACACAAGAGAGAGTGAGTGTGGACTGCCCATCAGACATGGGAACATACAAGGGGCAGATGAGTGTAGACAGCATCTTGGCAACATACAAGGGAGGGTAGAGATGGGGACAGCATCTTAGGGACACACTGAGCAGGGTGGAGATGGGTACAGAATCTTGGAGACATACAATGGAAGCTGGAACCGGGGATAGTAGCTTTGGTGACAATCAAAGGAGGCTAGCATGGACGAAGAACGGGAGGGACAAGTATGTGTGGTACATCGGCATAAACACCAAATATCATTTCAACAGTTTTTATGCATTTCTCTTTAGTCATCCAAACATCACAAAGGTCAATACCTTGATGTTGACAGTTTGCTTTTCCTGCTTGAGTTGTTTGATCTCTGCTGCTTGTTGTTTCATGAGCGTCTCCAGACTGCCCACCAGCTTGTCGCGTTGTTCTCGCCAAGCCTGCTCATAACATATCATCCCTTGGTTAGACACAGACACTGATCCAGTAGTCTTGTCCACACTACTGTCTTTTCCCGTATGTAATCACGTCACATCCAATAATAACCCTAACCTGGATTTGTTTCACGGTTAAAAAATTGAGATTTATGACGTTGATTTTTTATAACCTTCAAATTGTATTTAGTAACTAAATGAACAGCTATATCCTTTAAAACAAAGCTATCACCTCCACAATGTATTTGAAATAGAACTGGCAGATGGTAAAGGGAGACAACTCACCTCCATTTCATGGTCCTTGTCGGTCACATTTTTCCTCATTTCTTTCAGTTGATCTTCATACTTCTGGATTTCTTTCTCAACCTTCCGTAAATCGCGGTCTTTTTCCTGAAAACAAAAAGGCACTTAGTTTCTCAAAAAAGAATTTAGTTTTACGCCGCACTCAGCAATAGTCGCACTATATGGTGGCAGTCTGTAAACAATCGAGTTTGGACCAGACAATCCATTGATCAACAGCATGAGCATCAATCTGCACAAATAGAACAAATGACATGTGTCAACCAAGTCAGCGAGCCTGACCACCCGATCCTGTTAGTCGCCTTTTACGACAAGCATGGGTTACTGAAGATCAATATTCTAACTCGGACCTTCACGGGTTGCATGCAAGATAGATTAGTGTTACGCCGCTCTTAGCAATATTCCAGCAATATCATGACAGGGGACACCAGAAATGGGCTTCACACATTGTACCCATGTGGGAAATCTATCTTGGGTCTTCAGCATCAAGCTACCCCATCGCCCCATTAAGCTACCCCATCGCCCCACTAAGCTACCCCATCGCCCCACTAAGCTACCCCATCAGCATTCCACTAAGCTACCCCATCATTCCTACTTATCAGCTACCTCCATCGCCCACTGCTACCCCATCGCCCCCACTAAGCTACCCCATCGCTCCTATCACTAAGCTACCCGCCTCACTAAGCTACCCCATCGCCCCCACCAAGCTCTAACCACCCATCATCGCCCCATCCACCAAGCTACTCCCATCCACCTAAGCTACTACAATCAAGCTACCCCATCACCTAACCAAGCTACCCACAGCACTCACTAAGCTACCCTTATCAGCTTCCCCACTAAGCTACCCCATTGCCCCACTAAGCTACCCCCATTCCCACTAAGCTACTCCCACCTCTACCTAAGCTACCTATCAGCTACCCCATCACCCACTAAGCTACCCACCCCATCCTTAATGCTACCACTAACTAAGCTACCCTATCAGCCTAACTAAGCTACCCTATCACCCCCTCCCACTAAGCTACCCCATCCCCCACTAAGCTACCCCATCACTCCCACTAAGCTTTTATCCTCCCACCGCCCAACCTAAGCTACTCCCATCGCCTCTAACTAAGCTACCCCATCGCTACCCCATTGCTACCCATCGCCCCACTAAGCTACCCTATCCCCTCCCTATCACCCAACTAAGCTACCTCCCATCTTCCCACTTAAGCTACCCATCGCCCAACTAAGCTACCCCATCATTACTCCCCATCAGCCTAACTTGCTAGCTACCCCACTTCCACTCAAGCTTCCCATCGCCCAACTAAGCTACCGCCCCATCTGTTACCCACCCCATCGCCTCTAACAATTCCCATCACCAACTAAGCTACCCCATCGCCCCCTAAGCTACCCCCACCGCCCCACTAAGCTACCCCCCACTATACCATCCCCCTAAGCTACCCCCATCAGCCCCCACTAAGCTACCCCATTCCTCCCATCACTAAGCTACCCCATCCCTACTCCCATCGCCTAACTAAGCTACTCCCACCGCCCCACTAAGCTTCCTTCCCTAAGTTATCGCTTCCTACCCCATCGCCAACCCCTACCTCCCACTACCCCACTAAGCTACCCCATCGCCCAACTAAGCTACTCCCATTCACTTCCTACCCCATCGCCTAACTAAGCTACCTCCTATCGCCCAACTAAGCTACCCCAATCAGCCAAACTTCCTACCCCATCGCCCAACTAAGCTACCCCATCAGCCCCACCAAGCTACCCCAATTCCCACTGCTACCCCATCGCCTAACCTAATACTCCTATCGCCACCTACCCCACTGCCCCACTAAGCCCCCACCCCACCACTTCCCCACTAAGCTACCCAAACCAAGCTACCCCATCGCCCCACTAAGCTACCCCATCACCAACTAAGCACCCCATTTCCCCAGCTAAGCCACTCCCCATCTGCCCCCACTAGCTACCCCATCACCCCTACTAAGCTACCCATCGCCCCACTAAGCTACCTCCCACCTCCCTTCCCCACTAAGCTACCCCCATCGCCCCACTAAGCTACCCCATCGCCCCACTAAGCTACCCCATTTCACCCCCGCCCCACTAAGCTACCCCCCCCACTAAGCTACCCCATCAGCCCCCTAAGCTACCCCATAACCCCACTCCCCATCCCACTAAGCTACCCCATCAGCCCCCACTCAGCTACCCCCCACCCCACTGCCCCCATCTTGCCCCCACTAAGCTACCCCCATCACCCCACCTAGCTACAATTCACTAAGCCCCATCTTCCCATCAGCTACCCCCACTAAGCTGCCCCATGGCCCCACTAAACCCATCGTGGATTGACCCCCATGACCCCACGCTACCCCATTGCATAACTCTGCAAAGCAAATTTCACAGGCCGCCATGCTGTTTGGAACACTGCTCCTATAAACTGACTGACAAATAACATTTACAAGTAAACAGTTCCAATGTCATCTCAAGGATGACAAAAACATACAGTAGTCTGTTAGTCAGTGACTATTGATAATCTGATGGGGCTAGTTTATGTCTCCCATGATCTAGTGATTTTTCATTTGTCAGAAATTAACTGCAGACTGGTTGGTCATTACCAAATGTGTTTAACATTCACTAGTCACACTGAAGACCCGGGTTCGATTCCCCACATGGGTACATATGTGAAGCCAATTTCTGGTGTCCCCCCCTGCTGGAATATTGCTAAAAGCGGTGTCAGGGTTGCCACAGATGACGAAAGTTTAAATTCCCTGACAATTTGATTTTTCACTGATCAATATTAGAAGAAAACAAATAAAATTTCGGCCCATTTTACTTAAGACAAAGTGAAATCTTAAGACAAAGTAATCAGACGTAATTTAACAAACACAGAGATCCATTTAACATCAAGATGAAGTGTATGACACAGAAATATTACCTCTGGCAAACTCTGACGTAAGAGTTTTGAATTTTTTTTATTTCAATGTTTTTATTGTCAGAAAGTCCCTGTTACAAGATTGAGGATCACCTCCAGAAAAATGGTGACTCTCATTTGTACAGTATGAAATCTTACTGGTAGAAATTATGACAATTTCTTACAAAAAACAAACTCATTCACTCTCACATTCATACTAATACTGTTGTGAGTTTAATAAATAAACTGCTAGCTTTTCACTGTGTCTGCTTTTCACTTATACTTTGGCTGGATTACTAGTAATTGAAAAGTGGATGATAGACTGCGAACTTTGTGTAAAATTTATCGAGATTATTTCCGCTTGAGAAACTAAATTTCTTCAAACCATCAATGTGTGATTTTACCCCTTGACATTTATACACAAAGAATATAGCCATTGGGTCAAAAACAGTATCTGTGACAGTATTTGAGTGACACCCAAATATAACAAGTTCAGCAGAGAGCTTGAGATTGAATATTTGGTCACATTTCTGTGTCAACCATCCATGGAAGTTATTCCAACATATGTCTACAAATGGACACTGCCAAAATAAGTGACTGAAAGTCCGTAATACCAATCTCTATACATAAAACCCCATTTAATACAGACATGGAACTCAAAATCATACAATCGTTGCCTCTGTGAAGTCTGAATAGAACTAGTTTTCCCTGACCAAAGGCAATTTTCCCTGACTTTTTTCCAAAACTTAAATTTTCACTGACTGGTAACAAATTTCCCTACTTTTCTCTGATCTTAAAAAAATAATTTCTTCCCTGACTTTTCCCTGACCTGTGGCAACCCTGGGTAGGAAACTAAACTCACTCACTCAAAGTTGTTTAACCCTAGATTTTACAATGAGTTCAATAGTATTGAAATCACTACATCAATCACAATGATCAATTATTATGGAGATGCAATTCACTTGATGATTATGACATTCATCATCATAATGATTTGGCTATCGCATCTGGCAAATGCACCATTCCAAAAAGAAATTTATAATAATCTATAGCAGATTTCAAACTACCAAAGTACCTATGCTGATACAAGATTAACCGACAACGACGTAATGTGTTCGCAACACAGCCTGCAGCACAAGGTGAAAGAGACATGTATCTCACCCTAAGTTTCAGCTTGAGGTCGTCTATCACAGCGCTAGTCTCGGCCTTCTTATCCTCCACATGTTTATGAACCTCCTTGTCTACAGAGCTCTTCAGATCCACATTCTCTTGTCGCTTCTCTGCAAAACACATGGAATATTGAAGAGATTGTTACAGTGGATATCTTAATCTAGATTATTTGAGTCAAGAAAACGTATGAAAAATCCTCAGCATCTGCACATGTACATGATATATTTTTGTGACAGACCAAACAAGGCTGGCACAAGATTCCACACAAAAATACAGATGAGACCTGGGTTCGATTCCCAATATGGGTACAACATGTGAAGCCCACTTCTGGTGTCCCCTGAAGTGATATTGCTAAAATATTGCTAAAAGTGGCTGAACACACTCTAAGGAAATTACAGTGTGTTCCGAGGTGAGAAGGCATGGCAAGAAGTGGTCACAACAGCGGAGGTATGACTCACCAAGCAAGTTGTTCACAGGGATCATGTCATCAAAGCTTTTCTCAGTGTCTTAAACAAAAGTTGTTACCTGCTAGAGAGCGTTCCAGGTCCTTTATCTCATGGTTGTTCTCTCTGATGACGATGTCCTTCTGATTCTTCTCAGACGTGAGCTTGTCCACCTGCCGCTTTATCTCATCTCTCTCCACCTCTGCCTTGGTCAGAGACTTCATTACGTCCCTCAACTCCCTACTCGAATCACCTCGCTGATCCAGCATCTGTCTGTACCGCTCCGTCATCTTGTTCAGCTCTGTGGGGAGAATATATGATAAACTAGAGCAAACTTGATGCAACAATGAAGTTGTGGTAAACCAAATGCACATTCCGGACAATTTAGAAATAATCTGAAAATGATTAGACCGGGAAAACTTCTTTTCATGATGCCATTCCTTCAGATCAACACAATGGAGTATTATAGGGATGGATGTATGTTTCAAAAGTGAAAACTAATCAGTTAGTTGCCTCTTACGACAAGTATGGGTTCCTGAATACCAATTCTAACCTGGATTTTCACGAGCCAACACTGCTTGGAACATTATTTCAGTTACACTATGGTATGTCAATGTTGGCAAAAAGCCTCACGTCATCCAGGTTTGCACTTGGGGAAAAATTTGGCCACTACTGACCCAACGGACAGACTTTTATCATATTGACTGAGACAACATGACAGTCTGAACACACCTTCTGTGAGCGTCTTGATCTCGTCATCCTTGTTATTGAGCACCTTGTCCTGGGCAACCATTGTCTCCTCCTGCTCTGTCAGAGCCACCTTCAGCTGCTCTATCACTTGCTCATTGGCCCGGGCATCTACAATAACAGTGGCAAGGTTTCCATGAATGCCCAGTGCCAAACACTTTGCCTCAAATTAATTATACTCTTGGGATCTGCCTCAAATATCTGCCAAGTTTTGTTGAAAGATAGAGAAAGGTTTTCGAGATTTGCTCCAGAAACGAATCCCACCCCTCCCTTTTGAGACTAAGTTTCCATAGAAATCTAGAAAATAATAATCCCAAAAATCTGTAAAAAAGCAAAAGGCACCGCTTTGGTATATGCCTCATATATTAGCAAGGTTAGATATTGAGTGATTTTTTAGCTATGCTCCGGAAACGAAAACAACCCCTTTGTGAGACAAAGTCTAAATTGTTTCCATGGAAATCCAGAAAAATACAAATGCCAAAAACCTGTAAACAGCAAAAGCACCACTTGATATACACACCATTTTGTGTTGAAAAATATTGAATGGTTTTGAGTTATGCTCCAACGAAATGAGTACGGACGGAAGGACTGCATTATATTCCAATGTCACAGTACAAACCTCGAAGCACCACATCAAACTTCTCTCGCTCTGCATCTTGGCCTCTCCTCAGGTCCTTCAAGGACAAACTTCTGACCTCAAGCTTCTCAGTCTTCCGTCCAAGGTCGACCTTCAGCTGCTTGATCTCCTCCCTGAGCTCATTTGATGTCGTCTGCTCTCGTGAAAGCTTCTCATGCTCTCTCTGAAATACAATTGTAGGATTGGTGTATTTTGTACAGCTGGACCATGGCTTGTGAATATTCATATTTTGGCCTGGTAAACATATAAAGGTTAATATTGAGTGAGTTTAGTTTTACACCACTTTTACCAATATTCCAGCAATATCACGGTGGGGACACCAGAAATGGGCTTTTCAAATTGTACCCATGTGATGAATCGAACCCGGGCCTTCAGCATGACGACTGACTGACTGACTGAGTTTTGTTTTATGCCGCTTTTAGCAATATTCCAGCAACATCACGGCGGGGGACACCAGAAATGGGCTTCACACATTGTACCCATGTGGGATTTGAACCCGGGTCTATGGCGTGACGAGCCAACGCTTTAACCACTAGGTTACCCCACAGCCTCTTCAGCGTGACGAGCAAACGCTATAACCACTAGGCTACCTGACCGGTCGGCCCCGATGGCGGATAGTATGTCACATATTATAATTGATCCTGTTTAGCTGGATCAAACAATACAAGAAAACATGAAGTACCTGAATTCCCTCCCTCCCTCCCCAGAAATTGCAAACACAGCCACATGGACAGAAATAAGACATCTGCTACATGGCGGCTATGGTTTGACCTTAAACAGAGGTACAGATAAGCTGCGTATCTGCTTAAATTACGCAAATATTTATGTGAAAACTCAGTTCATATTAAGTCTACAGGTACGCTTGAATTTTTGTAAATACTCAATAAATGTGATCTTACATGCGTACACTCAAAACTGTCAAATCTTAGCTTGTGTACAGGTGGATAGATAAATAACTGCAGTATATTGAGAGGTGCTATTTCAGGACATGAACTTGGCAACTTGCAGTCTGTCTTATCGTTTCTCATATTACAGATCAAATATAAATAACAAACACTAACATTTAAACTTTACTATATTTTTTAAATTAATGGAAAAATGGCAAAATACCCAATTGAGCTTCAGTGAGGTGAGTACAATATATTTGGTTTCCTCAAAGGAAAATTAGGATACCCAATTGAGATGAACATAAGCGAGTACATAACCCAATGGTCAAAAAAGTTATCTGTAGCTCTGCTTCAATTCAGGTGTCACAGACCACCCACCTTCAAAAGGAAGAAGGTCTGTGCCTCCAGAAAGAACAGCTTGGTTGATGTCAACTTTGACATAACACTCACCTTCATCATAGTGACTGTGTCCTGAGCCTCTAGAAGGGTCTGCTGGGTAGATGTCAACTGTTCCTCCAGCTCAGAGATCTTCTCAATGTTCTCCTTCATGGAATTGCTAGCCTGCTGCAACTGTTGGCGGAGATTTCTCTCTCGATCCTGGCTCTAAACACATTTACAAATAACCAAAGAAATACTTTAAATATGTGTTTTGGGGGTTAAAATATCATTTATGCTTATCAGAACTCATACTTTTTAAGTTTGCATACTTTGAAATAACTGTAAATAACAGTTGGAACATGAAGCAGCACTAATGTTACCCTGGAGGAATAAGACCAGGCCCCGATTTCTCGAAACAAACTTAAGTCTGAGTTTTGACTTAAGTCAGAGTTTTTACTCAAATTTGAGAAAACACAGGAAAATGCATTTCCCAGAATAAACTGAAATCAATATTAAACTCAAACTTAGTAGACAATTTGAGTTTGGTGGATAGATTACTTAAGTTGTTTGGGATTTTTTAATTTAAAAAATGCAGTCTTGTTAAAAATGCAGCTGTTTCAAATTGTCAAACTCAGTTTGTTTCGAGAAATCGGGGCCAGATCGATGTGCCAAACCCCAGCCTATTTGTTGCCATGTTCACTTATTCAATTTTCACATAAAAAGGGTTTCAGATCAGTACACTGAAAGAAGTCATCCAAACTGAAAGAAAGAATCCTCAAACTGACTATACTTTCAATACCTTAAATATATTTTGTTTTAGATCTCATTAATATTCAGGAAAAAGGGAATATTTGGTTGAAAGTTAGGAAAAATATATGAATCCTTACCCTTTGTAGTTCATCATGGACGAAGGAGTCGGTTGATGCTGTTGAAGAAGACGACGTCCTCTCCCGTGAACTGTTTTCCAGAGTTTTGCTAAGATTCTGAACATCTTGCTTTTTCTCAGCAAGTTCACATCTAATGTCCTTCATCTCTGCTTCAAGAGTCACAACCTTGGTTTGACCTTCACTCAACTCCTTCACACACTGTGCATGTTTATTTTGCAACGCTTCATACTTATTTTCAGAGTCCTCTAACCTCTTAACCAGATCTCTGTCTGTTGTTTTAGTTGGACTTAACACAATAGACCCTCCTTGACTCCGCTCAAGCTGTCTCTTCAACCGTTTGATCTCATACTTGGCATTCACAAGTGCGCATTCAACCTCAATCTTCTCCTTCCGGAGTCTGCGGGCACTTCCTGGGGCAAGGTCATCCTCTGTTTTCATGGATTCTACCAACTGCAGCATCTCTTGGTTCTTCTTGCGTTCTGCATCAAGTTCCATCAGGATATCAGAAGATGTTTGGTCGCTTGTTACAGTGTTTGAAAGCGAGTTCACTGAATCACATTTGTCCACAACTCGACTACTTAGTCTCTTAACTTCCTCCTCCAAACTGACCACCTTCTCCTGAACTGAAGCAAGCTCCATCGTCAACTGCTCACACTTCTCTGTAGCAGACTGTAACTCATTCTGCAGTTGCTCATTTCTCTCTTCTGTGCACTTCATTTTCTCTTCCAGAACGTTCTTCTCCAAACTAACTGCTGTCAGGTTTTTCTCACACATTTGAAGGGTTTCTTTCAGTTGGTCAAAGTCTTCCTTTTCCTTTTGACATCGTTCCTCAGCCATCTTCATCTCTTCATTCAGTGTCTGTTTCCCCTTCTGTGACTGTTTCACTTCATCCTGGAGTTGTTTCATGGCTCCCTCCATTTCCTTCTCCTTTTCCTCAGCATCCTTCAGAGCACTCTGAGTCTCCTTCAGGGCACTGTTTTTCCCTGTCAGGTCAGCTTGCACTTCCTTCAGGGCAGTCTCTGCTTCAGCTCTGGCTGTCTCTGCACCTTTCAGGTCATCTCGGTATTGCTGAAGGGTGGTTTCTATTTCAGCCCTTGTTTTCTCAGAAACTTTCAAGTCATCTTGACTCTGTTTCAAACGAGCTTTCATCTCTTTCTGTTCTTCCTCTGCATCATGCAGGTCATCCTTATACTTCTGGTGAAGAGTCTTCTCCATGTGTAAAGCTGACTTCAGTTCTGCAATGTCTATCGATGCCTCACTCAGCTGGGACAGTTTTGCATCATTTGACAGAATTTGCTCCTGCATATTTGTATAGGACTCCCGAACTAGCTGTAGCTCATTTTCTTTCGTGGATAGTTCAGCCTGAATATCAGATAATTTTGCTTTCATATCCTTAATCTCCTGTTTTGACTTTTCTTCATCACTCATCATTGTTTCTGACATGGAAAACATTTCCTGATCCTTCTGACTCAGAGCTGCCTTGGCATCCACTAGTCTCTTCTCCAGCTCTGATGTTTCAGCAGTCTTCTCATCCAGACACTTCTTTATACTTCTGATTTGCTCATTTTGAGCCTTCACAGCATCCTGTATGTCTAAAGTTTGGTGCTCCATTTCCTTCACAACCTTCTCTCTGTCCCCAAGCTGCTGCCGAGCATCATCTAACTCACTTCTCACTTGCAGCAGTGTTGCATTATTCTCAGCATCTTTTAACTCTTGTGATGACTTGAATCCTTGCAGGGATGACTGTAGCTCCTCATTTTCATTTGTCATCTTCTGCAGCTGTTCCTTTAATTCTGACACCTCTTTCTCTGAAGAGTCAGTCTTCCTTTTCAAATCCTCTATCACACTTTCTCTCGACTCCACTTCAGCTTTGAGGTTTACCATCATGCCCTCAACATTTTGACAACGAACACTTCTTTCAGTTGTGTCGTTCTTCAAAGCTTCGATTTCTGCAACAAGGTCACTTATTTGGTCCACTTTGCTTTTCAGTTCTAAATCCTTCTGTGACATGATTCCGCTCAACTCTTCCCTCTGAACTGCCAGCATCTCTTCAATTTTTTTAGCATCTTTCTCTTTCTGGGTGTTTAACTGATCAAGTTCTTTTTTTCAGGGCAGACAACTTGTCTTGCAATTGAGTGACCTCCTCATCTTTTTCCAGAATTTTCTGATCCAACTGTTTCCGTTGAGCAGCCAATTTATTCTGCATCTCGACATCCTTGTCTGACAACTTCTGCACAAGCATCTTCTCTTGCTGATCCGTAGAAGAGTTGAGCATTTGCTTTAGTTCAGAGTTCACCATTTCAAGTTCCTCAACAGATTGCTCCAACTTTTCAATCTCTTCTATTTTCTGCTTTAGTTCAGTCTCCAGTTCTTTGACTTTCTCAACCATAGATTCCTTCCCTTCCACATGGCTAACAATTATTGAGTCCTTTGCTGCAACAACTTCAAGTAGGTTGTCCTTCTCCAAAGATAGTGAGTCTTTCTGCTCCGTTATGGTTTGCAGTTTGGTTTTCAGTTCTTCCAGAGAGCTTGAAAGCTGTGTCACATTTTCATTCTTCTCTTTCATTTCCTCCACAAGTTCTTCTTTCTCCATCTTCACATTTACCGAGCTCTGAGTTAGTTCCCTCATCACATCTTCGTTCTCCTTCAGAGATGTTTTCAACTCCGCCTTCAGCTCCGTCACAATGATCTTTGTCTCCACATGATGACCACTCTCCACCTCCAGCTTCTTCTCAAGATCAGTCACGGATTCCCGAGCAATGTCCAGGGCCTGGGTCAGCTCACAAACGGCTGAGCTGTTTTTGTCCAGCTCATCCTGCAGGTCTTTGATCTGACGCAGAAGGTGGTTCTTGAAGCTCTGATCATCTTCTGTTTTCTTCTGTGGTGTCTTTTTGGGTGTCTTCCTGGGAGACTTTTGTGGTGATAATCCTCTGGATTCCCGGAGCTGCGCCTTCAGCTCTGTCACCTGAGCTTTGTATGAGGCTATTTCAGCATTGTAGCCATGGATTAGAGCTTGGTCACGTTTAGTAGCATCGTCTTCCTCCCTCTTCAGTCTTGCCTTCAGTGTGTCAATTTCTGCATCTTTCTTGGCCAGAAGTACACTGACATCTGACTCATTTCTATCTCCCTCGGAGGTGCTGGAGTCAAGTAGAGCCTGAAGTTCTTCAACTTTCCTCACAAGCTCATCATTCTCACCTGCAACATGAAGCGAGTCTGCCATTTGTAGCAACAACAATACATAATTTCACAACTTATGCTTAAAAATTCCTTGCAATTCTAACAAATTAAAATTCATCTGTTAATGTTTACAATGCAGAAATGTTAAACAAATTCATAAATTACTTCATCTGAATGATCCGGTGAAGACATGTAGCCTAATTTGTAAGATGGGTGAACTGAGGTTTTGGTTTCAAAGCAGATATAAATATATGATTGCTGGTTTTAAGTATGCGTCTGACATCGTGGCCATGTCCTGTCAGTCATCAATCCGAGATTCATTCAAGCTGCCAATTTAGTAGTCAAGAAGTGGCTCATTCTGTGGAGTAAACTTTTGGGTATTGCTCTTTGTCTGTCTCCTGAGACTTGACAGACTGGCATTACAATCGTCTGAAAAGATAGTGGTATTTAGTATCACAATACTTCTTACTTTTTTTTTATCCATTTCCGTTCTGATAGGAAGTATATATCAACTTCAGATGCTCCATGTAGGCTATCTTTATGCAGACTACAAACAAGGACATTCCCATTTCAAGTAGGCATCATATACACTCATTGTACATGTATTTGCTGTAGGTACAGTGAGTGAGTCTAGTTTTACACCACTTTTAGCAATATTCCAGCAATATCACGGCAGGTGACACTAGAAATGGGCTTCACACATTGTACCCATGTGGGGAATTGAACCTGGGTCTTCGGAGTGACAAGTGAACGCTTTAACCACTGACTACCTAACCACCTCGCTGTAGGTACAGTGGTCACTTGCAAGTATACAGAACCAGGTCTAATCCTGAAGTGAGATGGCCTTTACAAATATGTCAGCTCCAGCTGTGATTGGGTTGTGCCTTGTACAGGTAAAACATCTGTCACTACCTCCATTTATTAATATATTTGTGTTACAACTTCCATGTCAGCATCTTGAAATCAGATCAGATCACATGATTTTGACAGTGAGTGAGTGAGTTTAGTTTTACTCTGCTTTTAGCAACACTCCAGCAATATCACGGTGTGGGACACTGGAAACATGCTTCACACATTGTATCTTTGTGGTGAGTGAGTGAGTGAGTGAGTTGTTTCACGCTGCTTATTAGCAATATTCCAGTAACATCATGGTGGGGGACACCAGAAATGGGCTTCACACATTGTACCCATGTGGGTAATTGAACCCGGGTCTTCCCAGCCCTGTTGGGTGAGAACACATTTCTGAGTGGGACAATTAATCCCTTATACCCAGCAAAAAACTGCATATTGAATAGTGAATGAAAATCACCTAAATGTGTCCCCATTTAAAAAGCAAACGGTCATGTGCTGAATTCTTTTATCTGTAAAGCCATACATTCCTAAATTTATGTAAAAAAGCTTGGTAAGTTAAAAAAAATAGTAGATGGATGAATCAATATAAAAAAGTATTTGAAACAGTGTTCATCTAGAATAAAATCTTCCTTCCTATATTTTCAAATAGTACTTGGAAAGAGTGATCACATGTCGCGTTGATGTGTTCAGCCAATCCAATAAATTTTGCATTATAATCCAATACCATACATATGATGTCACAGAGCAGGAACTATTTTCATAAGCTTCATATATTGATGCAATGTCTGTTCACTCAAGAATTCGTTTCATATGCAGTTCCTAAATTCACTTCATGCAGGTATTTACAGGACGCGAATTCCTGCGTCCTATAGCATAAAAATTGAAAATGGATGCAACAAAATATATTAGCCCATCCACAGGGACTCAGAAAAAGTCTAAATACTTTTTGTAAAAATTCCAATCAAGTGACAATATGTTATCACTGAGTTTGCTACTAGCTGGGTTATGGTATTATTTGCAATTTAATTTCTGTAACAATGTGATGATCATGATACACAATGCAATAACAGTATCAATAATAATATTTAAGTGTTTGGGACCCCCATTTTGTTGTCCGGGACCCTTGAAAAATAAGAGTATGAGTCCCAGGGACACTCAAATACAGGAATCCATGTAAATCCCTGCTTCATGGGATTATGTGATTATTACACTTGTGTCTCTGAATTTTACATGTCATATGAGGAGTTGTCAATGTCATCACTAGGTTGTCATTTTCAGCTTTTGCAACAGGGGACTTTTTGAGTTGTGGCTGCAGTATTTCAGCAAGGATCCCTGGCTTTCACGATTCATTTTGATCTTTGTACTAGTAGTGGTCCGATTAATCGAACACAAACAATTCTAGTACACTTGTTTTCATTAACACTATATTTCACTAGGTTGGTTTTGTCTGTTACCTTTCATAAGCACTACAAGCTCGTTCCAAGTCATGATTGAATTTATCTTAAAGACTCTAAGAACTTTATGTTCCTCCATACTAGTCATCCTTTAAAGATGTGAAATTTTGCCACCCCCCCCCCCCAAAAGAACTACATGTTTTTTTCCTTATTTTTTTGTGCATTAACACATTTCATAAATGACGCTAACCAATTATTTTCGATGATTGATCGGTTGTAATGAACCAATCATCAATTATGACATTTTAACCAATTCCCAACACTACTTTGTACACAACCTACAATACTCCTCATACCCAGCAATATTCGATATGAAATCAATACGAAAACTGTGTTATCGATAATATTGTACATAAACTGTTGTGATAGAATATAAATCTAATTTACTCTCACAATACACACAGGACTATTCATGGGTTGCTTCTACATTATGTTCAGGAAGCTGTTTTGTTAGTAAACATGTCACTGCACACCACAGGTGTGAAATAATTTCATTTGTTTCAGACTTTTGGGGCTTTTTTTGCTCAAAGCTACTTCTCCGATATTTATTGATATTTATCGATAGACAGTCCCACTATGCTTTAACCACACAATCCATTTAGCTGGACGCAAATTCTAACCAGTAATCCTTATGAAGCATTCATCATATCTCTCTGCCCCCATGCTGAGATGGATCTTTTCCAGCAGTTTCATTTCATCTTACATTTGTACCCGCACCAACTGGTAAAAGATGATCTTATCCATTACTATGAGGTCTCCTTTTTCTTTCATTGATAAGTGAATGTTTAATGCTTCCTGCATTTCCTATAGCTTGTAAACAATCAAGTCTGGACCAGCAAAGCAGAAACTGAACATTAGCATCCCCAGTATCAAGTTTAGCTGAATGTGTGGTTCTGGGGTCCTTATAGCAATATTCCGGCTTTATCCTGATGGGGCTCAGCCAAACTGGACCTCATTGACTGGATCATTTGTGAAATTTAATCTGGCATAATAAGTGAACGTTTTAACCACTATGCTACAACCACCATATCATGGAACCAAGGCACAGATCCAATGTGATTACGAAAGATGGGACCCACTTAGATGGAAAGATGGAAAAGCCTTCGATAAATAAGTTTGAGCACAGATCTTAAAGCACAAATAGAATCGTGTGTATGCTTTGTCTTTTCATACATGATCTGACAGAGAAACATCCTGTTGCGAAATATTCATCTGATCCATTCAATTCCTATTCATAAAAATCAATGTGCAGAAATGACAGATCATGATTTGCATTTTGTTCTCAAAACTGTATTGCTACATGTCGTACAATTAGTGTCACCCTTGTGCATGAGACTTTGGAGAAAGGAACTATTTCCACAACTTATTATGGATAGTTGACAGTGATGTGGACTTCTGATGAAAATCTAAGGATCTTATAGTGTGATGACAGCCTACATACTGAGATTACTTGATGTTGCCAGTACTTGTGGGGTATAGTGTGAAAAAACCTGGGGAGTAGATGACACAAAAATAGCTATCAAAATAACTATCTCATTATCTTTCATCATTCAAAATATTGTTATTGCATCAAAGTTGGCTAGGTGTATCTTTTCAGTTGTGCTGTAAATATTTCAATTTTCTCTTGTGAACATGTAGCTGTTAATTTGGCAAAATTTTAAGATTTGATATTTTCCACTTATTGCATGAATTCAATGATGATGATGATTGATTGAGTGTCTTCTAACAGTAAAATGATGAGCTCTTGAATGTGTTTGAATCATGTGAATAGAATTGACTGAGATGAATGTTTTCTGTAAAACTATAACATCATGAATCTTGTATCAGCAGTTATCAGATTATCATAAGCAACAACTCTGATAATGGTACAACAGACAGATAGAAGCTGCAGTTGTCTCCCTTGCACGACAATTCACATCAACCTTGGAACTCCTTATAAACTGACAGACTTAGCCTTGAATAGAGTTAGGTCACTTCCAAACATGCTTAACTTTCAAACATGAATTATCATCACTCCATGTCAACAAGGGTATCATATGGAAATTTACAAAATTTCACTGAATATTGTCCACAGCTAATCAGATCATATTAATAATTATCAGATTTGTTAAAAATGTTTCCATATTTTGAGTACAAATATATTTCATGTTTAGAAAGTTGACCATGCTAAACAAGGCTGAGGAGTGTCCCGATTGGTGAATTACCTGCAATGGAAACAACCGTGGCCTCGGCCATTAGTTACAGCTTTCGTACTTAGTACTGTCTGCAGTCTGGAATAGAAAACAAACTCTCATCTTTAGTTCATCACATATGGAAGTGTTTATTTGAGAATCCATATATATATATCACACAAAATAATTTACAGTTGTAATTTTACTATTAATTACTCATCACTCATTAATCAATTACTGATAATACACTCATCAACTTTAAATCACATCTTACCAGATATACGCATTTGGGAGAGCTGTCCAGTCACAATAGAAGGGGAAGGCGAGACAATTCAGTTGGGAGAGAAGGAAGAGAGTGAAGTCTAGAGGAAGAGCAAGGGAAGAGGATTGAAAGAAAAGAAATAGTTAGCTTTTCACTATGTTTTTTATTCAGCACTGCAGTAAAAAGCAGTGCAGGATATGACATCAACCCTTTCATCTAAATTCATGCAACTGATATGTGCTGACTGCTGAAGCATGTGACTTCTTAGTTGATGAGTGGAATATTACTTTTTGGAATCAGAACAGAATAAAAACATGAACTGATACAAGAGTATGTGAATCCTGAATCATATTGTCAGGTGTAAGTCTGCAATACGTCAATGCACAAGTAAATCAAGACAGCCCTGCTATGGAATGTATTGCACTCAGGTTGCAAGGCTTTTTCAGCGTTGATAATTAACAAGATATTTGATAACAGACATAATTAACTATGTAGCTAGCATATGTATAAGTTACACAAAATAAGGGGGACATTCTTTGTATTTTAGTTCACCCTTCAAAAGCAGTATGCATACTGCATAAATGTGCTTATAGACCCATAATGTTAAATTGTGAAGTCAAACCAGGGAAAATATATTATGACAGTGTTACTCTATTTAGCAGCATCTACTTTTGCATATTGCGCAAACATTTCAGCAAATCACATTGGTTGGACAACCAGAATATTTGTTTTGGGTACATTTCCAAGTCATAAATTCAAAATAAACACGATAAATACAGCACTATCTTGAACTATCATGGCCAAAGTGATTCAATGAATTAAGACCCAGTCACATTATGCCTAGACAACACAAGGACCCTCAACACACCAATAATATCCACTGAGTATTCTTTGTATTCTAAAAGTGAATGTTTTCTACTTCAATATACACCAATATTGACAAACTCGAACAACTGCTTTAAAGACTCCACAAGATATTTAGCAAACTTGCCAAAATGTTCCAAACCATACAACCTGAGACATGTCTTTAGATAGATATGAAACCGTACTCTCAAGCTTCATGGGTAGTGTGAATCCATCAATGGGTAGCATGGACGACCTTGACAGTTTGCAACCTTTGACACTGCAATTGACTGACTGAGTTTGGTTTTACGCTGCTTTTAGCAATATTCCAGCAACACTGCAATTGAACTTGCGTCAAAAAGTTCTTTGTATCAAACTTTTTTTGAGAATGTTTTGCATCCAATACTGCAGGAGAAACGTTTCAAGACTAACTGTAATTATGACATTTACTGTATATTTGGCACCTTGACCATTTGATAAGTAGTATGGAATAGTATGGCATGTTACTACTTGGCAAATGGCCATGAAACTAAAAAAATACACTATATGCTACGAGCAGCATATAAGAAAACATTCATATTATTATTTGTTGACCTGTGAAAAGCCTGTTAACCAAGCTACTTTTTTTAAAATCTTCTTTATCTAATGTCACCAGCTTGGACATCTATGTTGATTTAACTGTAATGTAATTTACTTGAGGTAGGGAGTGCATAAGAATCTCCAGCCATTTCAAGGCTTAATATCAATTGTCATTACAGTATCAAGGCACAATCTCCCTTAATGCCTTTTGAAATGACCTTGAAATTCAAATTTCAAGGCTTGGACCAAGGCTGCACAAACTGATACCACAACACAATATACAGGCAGGCAAAAACAGGCTAAAACACTCCAGCATAAGTTATTGAGTACAAGTAAGTAAATATTGAAATATGCTGTTCAAAATACATCCACGCCTTATTTCCACAGTCCCAGTACCAGTGAAAATATATGGATATTTCATTTGGACAAGAATAAGGATTCTACAAACACCAATAAAGATCTTAGTTTGAACATATCTATCATGGATTTTGGTTTCAAGAGAAGAATCAGAAAAATATACCTTCTCTTACTCTTTTGAATCAAAGCATATGACCCATAATATCTTAAACTTGGGCCTTGTGGTAACTCATGTCATGGCATGGATATTCCAGAACCGGTTCCATAAGCATGATGCCCAGACGTGTAATGCCTGGTAGCTTGATTCAAATTGTGCTTAATGTTATACTGGTGCTTGACCAACACAAACTGGTCTTGTTGAACCTTAGTTCTTAGATTTCACAGATTTATTGGACACCAGGTAAAACCACATGTCCAATTGTCATGCTTCCATACAAAAAAATAGAAGCATCTTTCAATTTTTCACACCCACATCTGCCCTTGGACTAGAATTTTAACCTGGTTCTGAGATTGTATTTCTGTTTGCTACCTGCTCCCTGACCAGACTTTCTCCTCAGTTTGCTACCGAGACTCATTCGCTTCTTTGTGACCTTAACCTTCTCTTCCTTGACCTCCTTCACTTTCTCCTCCTTATCTTTCCTAAACTTTCTACGGAAAAATGAATTCTCTTTCTCCTTTTTCTTAACCACTACTGCCCCATTCTTCCGGGCCATCTTTGGTAGGAGTTGTCTTAAGTCGGAGGAGGCTAGTCTTAGTGTGACGCGCCATCAGTTTCTGGATGGGCGTCACCATGACCCTGAGGACGCGGTTCTGGTCCTGTTTGATGACATAGTCTGGTAGCATTGACCTAGACCTTGGGGACAGTGAACCCTCGGAGAAGTCGTCGAGGGAGTCTTCGTAACTGTATTGGGGGGTGGGGAGGAACAAGCTGTACTGGAGCCAGACTGCTACCTTGTATCTGACTGTGTTCATCCACCAGGGTGGTGATTCGCTCGTTCTTGCGCTGTAGTCGTAGCTCACTGTCTTCCATGGCCTGTTTGCTCTCTTCCAGAGCTTGCTGCAACTTCTCTATGATGTCAGCCTACAAACATGGATACAATGCTTTACAGTTCTGAAAAGATGTATTAACGGTATTAATAGAATGAATGTAAGAATTTTCTGTTAAAATACCCAGGTGTCTTCAAACAAATGAGTGAGTGAGAATGGTTTTATTTATGCAGCAATATCATGGCGGAGGACAATCCAACCCAAATCTTCAGCGTGATCAGTGGACATTTTAACTATCCAAAATATAGTTCCAACTGTCGGAGGAATTTGTAATGGACATAAAATACTACTAAGTACCCCAGGAGGACCTCATCTGAAAAAGAATAAGGCTTTTTGAAATATCTCATATCTGGACGAAATAACGTCAGGCACAGACAGTTTGAAATCCAACAGTCAACTATCATCTGGTCACCTGCTGACTAATCTTGTCCTCGTCCTCAGCCAGAGCCGTCTTCAGCTTGGCAATCTCAGCCTCCTTCTGCTGGAACGTCTCGCCAGCCTCTGTCAGCATCTCATTCAGCTCTGTGATCTCATGCTCCTGCAATGTACACAGTTGAAACTGAATTACAATGAACAACAAAGATATTACATGTTTTCTTCTTTGAAACTTTTGTCATCGAATAGTCTGTAAACACCTGCTTGTCTAATGTTTCTGGCAACTTTGTACAGTATGCGAAATTTATGCTGGTCCTGTGGTCCCTGGCTAGTAAAAATTCATCAGGACCACTAAATGATAAGACAGGACCACTAATTATTGTCCACTCACTGGTCCTGTCATCGTCGATAATCTCCAGGGTAAATGTTCTGATAAATCTCCACTATACCCTGGATGCATCTACAACTCGAGCTGATGAATTTATTACCTCCCTTTGCTGGCTCCGCAGAGGTAATAAAATCATCGACTCGAGCCATAGATGCATCCAGTGTATAGTGGAGCTTTATCGGAACGTATACCCTGGAGATTATCAAGGATGTGGACTTGTGGTGTAGTGGGAAATTTTGAATTTTTTTTTCTCAGCTTGTACTGACTGGCAAAAACAAAAGATACCTGTCAAAATTTCTTAGTACTAATTTCTATGAACTTTTTTACCCCACACAACACCTTAAGCATGTAAGTAAGAAAGAAACCACAAGCACTGTCTGCCTAAACATCCCCGCACCTGTCAATAAAGTGATAAAGCCAAGACAATCCAGTGATCAACAGCATGAGCATCGATCTACGCAATTGAGTGTGATGACATGTCAACCAAGTCAGCGATCCATTAGTTGCCTCTTACGACAAGCATGGGTTGCTGGGCCTAGATTTGAGGTTCTCTTAGCATTAAGATACTTGTAAGTTAATGTATGGCACTTACAACCACCTTAGCGCTAAGAGGGTTTTGGAAAATCTTGGCCGTGAAGACCAATTCTAACCCGGATCTTCACAGGTCTGAAATGCTTTGAATACAACCAGGCAGACATCGTTGAACAATTTGGGCCAAAAATATATTATTTGTGAGTTTACTGCCACAAGTTATTCCCTGCCACACTACCTGCTTCTTCTGGATCTCCTTTGCTGCCTGCAACTGTTGACTGAGAGTCTCCAGGAGAACTGATTGTCCAACATCCGAGCTTGATGCCAATGCCTGACAATACAAGTATTAGTGTTAGTGAGTTGGGTGAATGCTGTTCTTAGAGATACTCCAGCAACATATATGGGCTTCACTAGGGCTGGCTATCGATAGAGATTGATAATTCAGGGATGAGAATGAAGTTTTGAGAAAAACTAGCCGGGTCCAGGGCGGCGCCCGGTGGGGGGACACAAAGCTCCTGATATTTAGGCATTTTAGACCTTTAAAACTGGCTAAGAAATGACAATATCATGAACACAGCAACCCCATCCCTCCTAAAACTTTCTCAACGGATTTAGATGATTCACAAAAATTACCCTTGGCCTTATGAAATTCATGGAATTCTGCGGATGCGCGGAAAATTCTCATCCCTGATAATTGTTACTACATATTGACTGATTATCGATAAATATTAGAGACTTTGGACAGAAATGAAAAAAAAGAGAAAGAAATATATTTCACATCACTGGTGAGTGGTGACATGTTTAATGATGGATTCTTAACAAAACAGTGTCCTGAACATACCAGATGTGTTCATATGAATAATAAACAAGAGTCATCAGAAGATGACATATCCCCCCGGCCCCCACATCTTTGAAAGAACAAATCATCTGACAGTTACTTAAAGTCCAGCTTGATTTTAGACTAAGTGCAAATCGTTTCCATGGAAATCATGAAAAAAATAAATGACAAAAACTGCAAATAGCAAAAGGCACCACTTTGGGATCTGCCTCACATATATGCCAAGTTTTGCTGAAAGATATTGAAAAAGTTTTCGAGTTGTGCTCCAGAAACGAAACCCACCCCTCCTTTTGGGACTAAGTCCAAATCGTTTCCATGGAAACCGGAAAAAATAAAAATGCCAAAAATCAGCAAATAGCAAAAGGTACCACTTAAGGTTCTGTTTGATATATCCACCAAGTTTTGTTGAAATATATTGAACGGTTCTTGAGTTATGCTCCGGAAACGAAGCCCACCCTCCCTTTTGGGATTAAGTCCGAATCATTTCCATGAAAACCGGGAAAAATAAAAATGCCAAAAATCTGCAAATAGGAAAAGGCACAACTTTAGGATCTGTTTGATACATCTACCAAGTTTTGTTGAAAATTTTTATATGGTTTTTGAGTTGTGCTATGGAAACGAAAGCAATCCTTACTTTTTGAGACTAAGTCCAAAATGTTTCCATGGAACCGGGAAAAATAAAAATGCCAAAAATCTGCAAATAGCAAAAGGCACCACTTAAGGTTCTGTTTGATATATCTACTAATTTTTGTTGAAAAATATCGAACGGTCTTTGAGTTATGCTCCGGAAACAAAATGATTACGGACGGACGGACAGGGCGACAACATTACATGCCGGTGGGATAAAAATGATGAAAGCCTATGTCACTCATTTAACAACAGTGTGTTTGATACATCAGAAAATAAAATTGCTCGTGACAACATGTCTGGTATTCATACATGTCTGATAACATCCATTTCTGCAACGTTAAAATCTGAAAATAAAAGCTCTACAAAACATTTCAAGCTTGTTGTTGACAACTTTGCTTTCATTTCAGTTGTTAAAAGCCACCCTCCCTTTCCTACCTGTTTGAGTTGGTCCTGCAACTCATCAATGGTTCCCTTGGCAACATCCAAATCTTTCTGTAAAGAGTACTCCACGCTCTCACGCTTGCTCTGTAACATAAAACATGAGTGAGTGAGAATATCAGGGGGTGGGGTGGGAGTGTTTTGTTAGTATGTGAGAATTTATAAACATCAGTAAAGCAAAACCTGACCAGTTGATCTACAGACAATGATGCTAAGTGATGCAGTATTGTTCCATTGCGACATAAAATAATAAGGTGAGGTGAAATTGGGTTTTACGTCGTGCTTGAGAATATTTCGCTCATATGATGACGTGAATGCATGTGTATGTGTATGTGTGGCTGCTTGTACTAGCCCAGACTTAAGCTGGTTTTATAGTGCTAGTCCACTGAGATACCATGCCGCAGTGAAGCATGAATACCCCACTCAGACACATTATACTGACTCCGAGCCGACCAGTCCTTGTTGTACCCATTAATGCCAAGCAGGGACCAACAAGTACCATATTTTAACGTCTTTTTGGTATGACGCGGTCGGAGATCGAACCCGCGACCTTCCGCTCTCCGGGCGGACGCTCTAACCACTACACCACGGTCCATAAAATAATAAAGTCTTAAAAAGCTGTTGATCCCTTGCCTTTCATGAAGTTTCATTTACTTTTAACCTAAATCCCTTAATGATCCTACTTTTGATCACATAAATATGTTATGATTTGCTGTTTAACATCTCACTCAGCTGTTTTTGAGCTAGGTGACGGCAGTCTGTAAATGGTCTAGTTGGGACCAGACAATGGCATGATTGATACTGAGAAAAACAATCAGGTTCAATGACACGCTTCGTCACCCAAAGGATTTGGTTATCTCTCACTAACTAAACCCCCTGAAGTTTACAAACTCCAACCAAAGTACCTGTCTCAGCTGCTTCTGTAGTGCCGTGACAGTCTCCTTGGTGATATCTAACTCGTTCTGTACTGTCTGCAGTTGACTGACTGCCATTGTCTGGAAACAGAGCCGCTATCATCATCATCATCATCATCATCATCATCATCATCATCATCACCACATTTGTTATGCGCTATTTTCCATCCGTTGCGGTCGCTCAAAGTGCAAGCTCAATGACGCTGATTATTATTACCCTGGATAACCCAAGCTGCCTGTGAGGTGCTGGAAGGTTAATAGTCACATGACTGTCCCACCTGGTATCCACTTTCTGCTGGGTGGACAGAGGCAATTTTGAACAAACTCACTTGCCTAAGGTAAGACACAAGTATCACATGCTTCATCATCTTCGTTATCATTATTGCGAATGCGTAACAAAACTTTATACCAAAACGCATATGTTCACATGCATGATATTTGCACATGCTTTACAGTAATTTGATGCATGATCCTCGTGCAATTCATCTGCATAAGGTTTCCAGTTGGTTCCCCCAAGTTAGTGGAGACATACATCTTCGATGTAACCATACATATATACATAACATATAGTGAGTGCTTTAAACTGTCTAAACTTTTGATGGATAGCATATATACATATATGTATGTGTATATTTGTGCATATGTATATGTATGAATGTACATGTATGTATGTATGTATGTATGTATGTATGTATGTATGTATGTATGTATGTATGTATGTATGTATGTATGTGTGTGTGTATGTCTGTCTGTCTGTCTGTGTGTGTATGTGTGTGTGTATGTATGTACACGTATGTATGTGTGTATGCATGCATGCATGTATGTATATATATATATATATGTATATGTCTGATGCACTCTTAACTTATGAATGTTCAGAAAGGATGGAAAAATGTAACTTCAAAAGATGGAAATAAAAAAAATATAAAAAAATATTGCAAAAGTGAATGAGCATCAATCTAATCAAGAGTAATGCATTGTCACAGACAAGGAGAGTTGTGTTCACAACACTTTGTAGAGTGAAGTCAAAACAGTTGTGTCAAGGGATCTATGCAAATACTTCCATGTTATCCAAGGTACGACACAACCAAAAAGTAACTTCGAGTCAACCGCAAAATGATTAGTAAAATGACAAGACCAAGCTGTTACTTCTAGACAACATTCAATTCAACATGTCAAAGTTCAACACAGTGGACTGACTGAGTTTGGTTTTACGCCGCTTTTAGCAATATTCCAGCAACATCACGGCAGGGGAAACCAGAAATGGGCTTCACACATTGTACCCATGTGGGGATTCGAACCCGGGTCTTCGGCATGACGAGTCAACGCTTTAACCACTAGGCTACCCAACCGCCCCCTCAACACAGTGGAGATTGTATTTCATGAGTATCACATCATGACATCTCAACATGGCCAGACAGTTCGAAATTTTCCACTGTGGTTAGATCCACAAGCAGATCAGTGTTGCCAAACAAATGATGAAGATCAAGGTGAAGAGCCAGATGAGTACATGATCATTGACTAATCGGACTCCAAAAGCAACTCACATTTGGTCAGTTTAATCAACTGACTTGAGTGAGTTTTAACCTTATTTACTCCAAAACTATTTTAAATTAAAGACGTTTCTGGGATCCTTACTTTGCTCCAACGAAACTTTAATGGATAGACCCCTACTGGGTGTATTTGGACCTGTTCAGGGTGACAGAGGCTGATATTGGGCCTTGTCAACAAGGAAGGTCAGTAAATGTTCCAAAATTTGAATTCAAAATGTTCCTACATTTTCTCCAGTAACAACTGATGTTATCGTGTCGAATAACAGAGATGCCAACCCCAAAATACTGCAAATAGTAGTTTCAAGGATCAAAATTAGTAGTTTGACCATAAAATTAGTAGTCAACAAAATACTTAAAATCATGATGGATTCTGAGGAAGATAATATGACAATAATCAAGAGTGAAGCTTTAATTTCACATACCTCCAACAGCAGATTTCCAAACAGGTCACTTGCAATTATTCCAGTTCAAATATGTCATTAAATTTGATGTATGGAAGGTAAGTGAAGTCCACAAATGTATTTAATCAATGAAAATATGTTTTTGTTTATATATCCGAAGTTTCATGAATTTTCTTCAAATTTCGTAGAATTTCTAGTGCAATCGTATTGGCGTAGTTTAAGGCTAGAATTCGTAGCGACTACGATAAAATCATAGAGGTTGGCATCTCTACAATAGGTGACACTGAGCAATTTTATCAAAATAATTCTTTCCCAAATTGCCTTCCAAATACATGTAGATTTGAATCACGGATAAATCCCTGCCTTAATTGTACAACATTACTCTATGCCAAGGAGACCTTGATCACCTACCTTCTCTGCCTTGATGTCCTGGATGAGCCGAGTCTTGTCGGCCAAGGCAAACTCACAGGCAGTTCTTTCCTTCGTCACACCTTCCTGGGACTTGCTCACTTTCAGCACATCAGTCTTCAGGCGGTTTATCTCACTCTTCAGTTTTTTCACTTCTTCATCCTTCTCCTGTAAAATACAAATATTGACCAAAATACAAATATTGACCAAAATCTTTTTTCAGACTGTTGTTGTCATTAAAAGCCGTGCTCCACAAATCGATCTCAACTCTTCGGCTGTAATGACTCTAGTATTTTAACACAGGAATACAACAGTTGTAGTGCTACAATCACTTTGTGGAACTGGAACTAGCATTCAAAATGGCCACACCCAAGTTAAGCTGTGAGCTTGAGTGTCATCAATGAACGGTTTGATGGAGTGCAAAAACCGGTTTTGAATCCTTTGAGTTGGCCAGATTTATCACATTTTCCACTTAATGGATCATGGTGAGTGCTATTTCCATAACTTCATTCGTGCCACCATGGCACATTGAAAATATTTCATCCATGCACTATATTGATCCCAGTACTAAGATGTGCCAGTTCAACATACCATCTTGAACTCTAACACTGGTTTATATTCTGTGCCAAAAATAAAAGCCAAGGTGTGAGTTAATGTTAATGTATGGCACTTACAACCATCCACTAGGAGAGCTTCGGAAATCTTGGTCCAGACCCATCCTTTGATGATATATTGATTTAATGTGATCTAATTTTGATTAAATTATTGACTTCATGAAACACTTCTGTTATCCTGTGACAGTGAATGTTTGGTGATATTCAAAGACTGACCTTGACCTTGACCTGCTCTGCATGCAGTAACATACTGGAGACCCATTCATCCTCATCATCCATCATCTTGTCTTGTCGAGGCCGTTTACTCGGTGGCTGGTGCGCCATCAGGATCTTCACCCTCTGCTCAACCATCTCCTCAGCCATGATGTCTTTCTCCCGGATGCGTTCACTGCAAGGTCAAAATCAGGTTTCCATATCAGTGTTCATTTTCTTATCCTATCTCACGTTATGAACCTCCTTGTCAACTTTCAACAGTGGAGTGGAAACCACCTGAAACAGTTTCCAGCCTCTCTGAAACTGGAAGACTCGCCCAAACACACCCCTGCTCTAATTGCCGGCACTTGCTTTTCTATCCTCATCAATGATGAATATATTTGCCAACCTATTGTCCTGTTATATTAGTCATTAAGGACTAACCTCGTTGTCTACCTTTCCCCATAAAGCTTCTGCACTGGCTTGCTGTCTACCATTTGTCCCTTTTCTCCCCAGTTGCCTCTGTGATCACCTATAGTTTTTTTCACTTACAATGAGTCACCAATCAGCTTACCTATACCACCTTCTGCTTACATGCTGTTACACTCTTCTGCTTATCCTTTGTCATTCTATTCGGCTTTACTGTATTTATTCTTCCGGTATTTGTTCACTGACTACCTGAAGTCCTATTCTGATAACCTCTAGTCATTCTTTATCTGCCTACCCGTAGTCATTCTTTGTCTGCCTACCTGTAGTCATTAGGCAACCTGTAACCATTCACTATCTGCCTACCTGTAGTCATTCTCTATCTGCACTAGTTGAGTCATCATCTCCTTGCACACTTCCTCGCGTATCTTGGCCTCATGCCTGATCTTGTTGTTCTTCTCATTGTGCAGGTCCTGCTGCAGATGCTCTATGATGTTCAACAGTTCCTGGGGAGAGTAGGGAACACAAGGTTACCATTAGCCACAGGATGTTCCTTAAGACACAAATTTCTACAGCATTGGGGTCACAGTGCAAAATCTTGGTGTCACTTGTTGAGGTCAACTTATAAAACAGCAGAGATAAGAATCCCTACTTAAGGAATTTAGGAGTATACAGGATAAATGAGTCATTTCAACAATAAAATGTTTACCACCAAAAGTATCACTGGCTATATTCAAAGTCAAAGAAGAAATATATCAAGTGGTACCACCAAAATTCCTAAAATTACGCTAAGGAAAGCTTAGATTCATCAAAATAACAGTGACATCACCAGGAAATCAAAACCACTTGTGATGTTTTATGCGCATTCTGAACATATTTCATTTCAAACAGATTGGCAGAATTCATACAAAAATCATAAACAGCTAAATGCAGTTGGGGACAACGAAAAACGGATGGGTTCTGATTACCTCATTGTCAGTGAACGATCCTCATTGAAATATTTTTACCTCTAAACTTCAATACATTATGAGTTGGTTGGTTTGTTGTTTAAAGCCTCACTTAGCAATATTCCAGCTATATAGCGGCGGTCTGTAAATCATCGAGTCTGGATCAGACAATCCAGTGATCAACAGCATGAGCATAGATCTACACAAATGGGATACGATGACATGTGTCAACCAAGTCAGCAAGCCTGACCACCCGATCCCGTTAGTCGCCTCTTACGACAAGCATGGGTTACTGAAGACCAATTCTAACCCAGATCTTCACGGGTACAGTATATTATGATATAAGATGGAAACACCATATTGTTATTTAGTCCTCATCTCTGTGATAGTGATGGTCCTCAGTCCCAGTCTACATCTCACATGACGCGACCGGGAGGCCGGGGTTTTCTGCACGCTGAGACATGGTATCAGCTCTTTGTGAGCAAGGATGTATCATCATTGGGCATCACAGGTTATCAGAGATAACGACACAAACAATACCGCTATTTTACCAAGAGGCAGTTTTCCAATGATCAAATCAAGTTTCACAAGAAAAAGATTTGTACTTCATTACCTTTTGTTCCTCTTTGTGGAACATCTCATAGCAAAGTAACGACAGCTGTACAGTCACAAACAGACAATGACATCTATTTTCATGACAGAACTGATGTCTTGCTATGAACTATAATTACTTAATGGATGTCTATATATCATCAGCAATCCAGCATATTTCTTCATATTCTAACAACAATATCGTGTTAATGTCAAAGTAAGTCATCAGCAGTAAGTATGTATTTTATTTCAGTTGTGACACAATGCATGAGGTTCACAAGTTTTGTGTCCCAATAAGATGTGTGAGGTGAAGTGAAATTGGGTTTAACGTCGTGCCTTGAGAATATTTCGCTCATATGACAACGTGCATGTGCGTGTATGTGTATGTGCGGCTGCTTGTACTAGCCCAAACTGAAGCTGGTTTTATAGTGCTAGCCCACTGAGATACCATGCTGCAGCGAAGCATGAATACCCCACTCAGATACATTATTCTGACTCCAAACCAACCAGTCCTTGTTGTACCCATTAATGCCGAGCCCAGGCAGGGACCAACAAGTACCATATTTTAACGTCTTTTGGTATGGCACGGTCAATATGATGTGTAACATTATAGGGACACATGGTGTAAATAAAACATTGAGACATATCCTTCATCAGGGTCATTGAGTTATGTACTCGCTTGTGTTCATCAAAATTGGGTATCCTAATTTTCCTTTGAGTAACCAGATAAATTGTACCCACCTCACTCAAACTCAATTGGGTATTTTGTCATTTTTCATTATTTGTAAAAATATAATAAAGTTTAAACGTTATTTATATTGGATCTGTAATATGAGAAACGATAAGAAAGACTGCAAGTTGCCAAGTTCATGTGTTGGAATAGAATCTCTGAATATACCTCAGTTATTTTATCTGTGCACTGGTAGGCAAGGTATGATTCGACATTTTTGTGTGTACGCATGTAAGATCAAATTTATTGAGTATTTACAAAAAGTCAAGCGTACTTGTACGCAATAGACTTAATAAGTTTTCACATAAATATTTGCGTAATTTACGCAGATACGCAGCTTATCTGTACCTCTGCTTTATTTTCCTTTGCAGTGACCTCTTCATGCAACACACTTCCAGACCACTCAGTTCCTAATCAAAATGAGAGGTATCTAATCTGATCTACAGTGAGACAACCTCAAATATCAAACAGCGAAGGTTCATCTCGTGATACTTACATCGACTTGACTCATGCTGGTGTCCAGTTCCTCATCCTCATCCATGTCCTCTGTCACCTCCAGGGTGTTCAAGGAGCTGTACTTTAACACTGTGCCTGCACAGAACCATGTACACCTATACTGTCACAATACAGGGATTTGAAACCTAGACTTACAAGTCAAGTATGATGGCAGGCAAATTGGGATGAATGTTCACATTATATATTTCACTGTGAGTGAGTTTAGTTTTAAGCCGCTTTTAGCAATATTCCAGCAAAACGACGTCCGGGACACCAGAAATGTGCTTCAAACATTGTACCCATGTGGGGAATCGAAACCGGGTATTCGGCATGACGAGCAAACGCTTTAACCACTAGGCTACCCAACTGCCTCTCTTGATTTCAGGTGTTTTATGACATTGTAATTACTAACATTGTAGAAGGTGTTAATAAACATCCCTCTAACTTGGTCCTGTTATTGAAATATGATTGACTGAGCAAAACATCAGATCAATCTCTAACTATATATCATGACAATTGCTGCTGTTCTCTTCAATAAGGAGACAATTGATACTTGTAAATAATCATTTTTATCTGTTTTGCCTTTTACGCCACACTCAGCTATCTTCCAGCTATATGACATTCACTGAAAATAATCCAGTCTGGTTTGTTTGTTGTTTAATGCCGCACCAGTCAATATTCCCCTAGAAAGTGGCGGTCTGTAAATAATCGAGTCTGGACCAGACAGTCAACATCATGAGCATCGATCTATGCAATAGGGATACTATGACACGTCAGCCAATCTGACCAACCAATCCTTTTAGTTGCCTTTTACGACAGGCACATGTTGCTGAAGACCAATTTTAACCGAATATCATGGGTATATCAATTCGGGACCAGATAGTTATGAAAAATGATCCACACTGTCAGAGTACACTGACATGACATGCAGACAACCAGGTCTACAAGCACGACCAGTCACCATCCAACCCATAGCTCTTCCAACCACTTATCCACCAGAATCTCTACATGGCTTGTAAATTGGTTACTGGTTCTCTGAACACTTCATGCAAGATCTGTGTACCTGGTGACGCCCACTGGATGGACGGCCTCATGCCAGCTGGCTCCTTCTTTGCATGTACTCGTGGAACTTTAGGCTTTGGATCTGGCTTTTGTACAACAACAACCTGAAGTGAAACAATCAATACTCTCTGTTTAAAGACAGCACTGGTACCTTTTTTGTCTATCCATACATTTTGCAGTGATTGTATACAAAATCTAAACAAACAGTAAAGGTGTTAAAAAATTATAATCCCATTATGTCACCCAGTCGAATGAAAAATGGTCAGCCTCACAACTGAGGAACCTAAAAGGTGATTTTGTCTCCATGGAGAAGGAGAGACATTTTTTGGTTTTTAAACCATAATTTGTTTCAGAAAAATTTAAAACGAAAATAATTGTTTGCTGGATATTCCAAAACAAAATGAAAAGGGGGTTGCCGGAATCTGGAAGACAAAAAGGTCCAAACAGTTGTATTCTTTCTGAATCAAAAAACCTCAAAAGGCTTATGTTCCTAATTTCATATTTTCAGTGAATATACATACAAACCTGTTTGGCAATGGCAGAAAACTTGAACACGTTGAGAGTTTCATCAAACATGCTGGCTAACTGATTTACATTGACTATCATAGCAGCCTTGCCACGACCTGAGAAAAAGTTCTGAAAGAGTCTGGTGAGTTTACTGTCTCGGAATGGCACCATCCGCGGATTTTCTCTGGAACAACAAAAATCACAGTAAAGAATATCATTTACAAGGACTGCCATCCATACTGGGCCCATTCCACACTATACCCTGGTTGAATCTGAACCCTTTTTTCTGGAAGCATGTGAGTAACATTGAGTTAAACTGGGACAGGGTTCATACCAAATTTTGGTGGAAAATTGAAGGCCTTCCCAGCTTGAGACAAGGCATCCCCGACAAAATTCATTAATACATAATCATTATTAGTTATTTTAATCAACAAATTCTATATAAAGTCATGCATTAGTATAACGGACCAGAATTTTTAACTCATCTTATTTCATCCTGTTGAATAAAAACAATATACAAATAAAATAAATAAGAGATTCAAGGCAAGTTAAATTGCCCTATGTTTCAAGGGTGTCATTCATGTCCTGCACTGAAACATGTTACTTGTATTTCATTTAGCAAATGGCAGTTCATATTCTGCAGTCAACTCATAATGCAACTTGGCTCGTATACGCCGTTATATAAGTGCCTGTGTTCGAAATTTGTGTGCTCACTGATACCAAGGACCAGGATGAAAACAATGTAGCTCCATGAGTATGATATTGCGCCGCTTTTAGCAATATTCCAGCAATATCACGGTAGGCCACATCAATATCAAGGTAGGGCTTCACACATTGTACCCACTTGTGGAATAGAACCCGAGTCTTCGACGTGATGAGCAAACACTTTAACCACAAGGCTACTCCACCACTCCTGTAGCTCCATGACTAGACTAACGCTAAGTCCCTGAATAGATATAATTTTGATAGTAACAAATTAAAAACCCATTTAAATTAAAAAGGAGCCCCAGTGAGTTGGAAGATTCGGAACCTGGGGAAACCTAGATTTGCTTCATTTAGGGCTTTAGCATTACAAGGAGGGCTGGGCATTAGGGAAAATAATGTGGTTTGAAACAGTGCCTACTTGTGTGTCTGGTTGTATCGGGAGCAGCTCAATACATCTCCCGAGGGTCATGAGTGACGTGTTGATGTTGCCAGCTTCCTTCAGTCGGTCCCCTCCAGAGTGTGTCTTTGACTGTCTCTCGGACCCCGCGAGGTCACACAGAGAGAGCCTGGAAAATACAAAACCTTAAAACATCACAGGAAAGCAAGAACAACACTGAGTTGTCATCTACAGAAGAGTGAGTGGATGAGTGAGTGAGTGAGTTTATTGTTTTACGCCGCTTTTAGCAATATTCCAGCAATATCCCGATGGGGGCCACCAGAAATGGGCATCACTCATTATACCCATGTGGAGAATCAAACCCAGGTCTTCCGTGTGACTAGCGAAAGCTTAAACCACTAGGCTCTCCCACTGCCCCGAATGGTGAAAGAAATGTCACTAGCCCTTTCTGAAATTTACTTGCAGGAATGACATCTGAATTGTACAGTTTGGCATCTATGCAAAGACCAACTCACATGCTGACTCGTGCTACGTGAGGCTTCTTGGTGTCCACAACCCGCAGAATCTTGATGTTAAATATACAGTGACTGAAACAAATAATCTCAGAGTCAGAAACATGGATATAGCCAAAAAACACAAATTTTGAAGAACAATAAAGAAATCAAACAACTGTTCTGTCATGATAACGTTTCTGGAGACTCTAACATACACTATCAACTTGATGATGCAAATAGGACAATGCTATTTTTGAGTGGTTTGTTACACTTAGTGAGTTTAGTTTTATGCCGCACGCAGCAATATTCCAGCTTTATGGCAGCGGTCCATAAGTAATCGATTCTGGATCAGACTATCCAGTGATAACAACATGAGCATTGATCTACGGAATTGGGATACAATGACATGTCAACCATGTCAGCAAGCCTGACCACCTGATCCTATTAGTCGCCTCTTACAACTGAAGATCAATTCTAACCTGGATCTTCACAGGTGTTACGCTTAGTACTGTAACATTTTTTACATGCTTCATGAATCATGTTGGACAAAATGTAATTTTTTAAGTAAAATTGATATTTTATACTTATCCTGACTCATGATCTTTTGCTTATCTCCCTTTCCCTTTCGAATGGAACACTTGAATCCCTTGAAGTTCCCGAAGCGGACATATAAATACTCACCCACGAGTTACCTCCCTTGCCCTTTCCCTCGCAAACGTACCATGTGACGTGCCCATACTTGTCAATCTCTCCTTATTTTCCGCCCATTTCATGCTCATTTTTTCATTGATTTGAGCAGTGAGAATATTCAGGAAATACCAAATATTAACCTTGATTTCATAACATAAACCTGTGTCACAGTGTGACGTTGCTATAGTTATCACCATTATAACCATAACGCTGGGTTGAGTAACAACAAGTACCATCATTTAATGTCTTCTTAGGGGACACAGCCAGGTGCTCAAACAACTGACCATCAACCTTTCTACTACACGACAAACACTGTCAGTGGGTGGAGAAAATATCTTCGATACTAACTGATCTAAGAAAAGAATGATACCTTCTTGATGAATTATGATTAAGTTTGGTGCAAGCTGTTCTGAGATTCTTCTGACCAATGGTCAACAGCTTGTAGGCCTCATCAGCGTTGGTCACGTTGATCTCCTTCAAACCTGCAACAACATGCCAGTGTTAGACATAGCACTAGACTTATAGCGAGCCGGTCAAGACAGTAGAGTCAGTGTGTAAAATCTTATGTCAGTTAGAATATCTAGAACACTAATAAACACAGTTTTAGTATTGGCATTTTCAATTTAAAACAGTGTCAAATTCTGTGTCCGTGTTTTAATAATCTGATAATAGTAGAAACATGATTGAGTGAGTCTCATTAAGACAAAGATCAACTTCTGATAGCCCTCATTGGTCAGCAGCTAAATTCCATAAAAACAGTTCTATTTTATAGCGTTTATGTCTACACTGTCAGATTGATCACTTACCTTTAATGTAAGGACTTCCATTGCCATCCTCACTAAGCTTTAGCACCTGTCGTCTTGCATTTTTCTTCTTGGGAATTTGTTCGAGCAGATCAAAGATCTGTTCGTTGTAGATCTCAGCAAAACTGACCCACACCAGGAACTTGATCTGCCCCTGATCTTCCACGTTGATGGCTGCCTCTTCCCTCACGCGGTTCTCCAGCTCCGCAAACAGGTCACCATCTACAGAGTCTGTGAAGAGGGGAGAATGTTGACATTATCAAGATATTGTATTCATCTATTCTTAATGGCAACACTGTGCAACTGACAAAAACACATTAATAGTTTCATAAATGGCAGTTTACTTTGAAGGAAATCAGATAAACATGTCCATGTAGTGAGTGAGTGAGTTTAGTTTTACGCCACACTCAGCAAGATTCCAGCTATATGGCTGTGGTCTAAATAATCGAGTCTGGACTAGACAACCCAGTGATCAACAGCATGAGCATAGATCTGCGCAATTCTGAACCGATGACGTGTCAACCCAGTCAGCGAGCCTAACCACCCAATCCTGTTGGTCGCCTCTTACGACAAGCATGGGTTACAGAAAATCAATATTCTAACCCGGACCTTCACGGGTACATGACCAATGTAAGTGTGCAAACAAAACTTTTCTCTATTGAATGAAAAATGCCCTTTGACTATAAACAATAGTCATGATTATTTACATTTACCATTTGTCACAAAATCAAGTGATTGTGCATGAAAAATTGAATTGGCAATTTCACTCAAAATGATCAAAACATCAAATTATGTAACCTTTGTGGTGGTCTGCGGCTGCTGAAACATTGGAGCCCTCAGAGGCGGTTGTGGTGTTGCCCTGGGAGATGTCAGAGGCATCTTCTCCCAACAGAGTCATCACATTACAGTCCTGCAGTGGAAGATAAGATTAGATGAACAATTGCATTGTAACCATGGTAACACATCAAAACTTTTATCTCTCTTCTTCCAGTAAACTACTGTTGTGGCAAACTACTATCATCAAGAAGAAAGAGGAAGATTTTGGGGCTATACATGCTGCAAAATATAGCAAAGAAGTGCATGGTCTAACAGAGATCTCAAGTAATTAACATCTGTTGGTACAGTAAATCATATACACAAATGACTAACATAGAATAAGAATGCCACAATCAGTATCTCTTCTCCAAGACATCCAGGGTCTGGGATGCAAGAACCATGGTAACCATAAACATTTTACTTTTCATAATAGTGAAAACATAAAGCCCCTCAAATCTGGGATTGTTGATGGCTCTGGGATGCGTGTAACCATGGTAACCGTAAACATTTGACTTCTCATAATAGTGATAACATAAAGCCTCTCAAATCTGGGATTGTTGATAGCTCTGGGATGCTTGTAACCATGGTAACCGTAAACATTTGACTTCTCATAATAGTGATAACATAAAGCCTCTCAAATCTGGGATTGTTGATAGCTCTTGGGGCACCTTCAACATTTGACATAATAACTTTTGCCTGTGTTTAGTAATTACCCAATACATCTCTGTTTATAGCCAATTATATTGACTGAATTTTAAGCATTAACACTTGAACCTCTTACTGAGGCAATGGGAGTTTAAACTAATGTACAATACAAATGAGCTCACATCATCAGAAGACATGCTCAACGTCTTCTCTTTGATCCGTCGCTCCTTCTCTTCTTCCTCTGGGGTCAGTTTCCTCACGTCTGTGAACATCTTGGGCTTGAGGTCCATGCCCGGCCATTGTTTGCCACTGATGCTGTTAAAGAGCACGTCCAGCGCTCGTGGCAACAGTCCAGCATCATGAGGCTTGCCTTCAAACATACACAATCACGAAAAGTGAACACAGGGTTCAATATCACTCACTGACATTTAATACTCCAATACCGTACGAAACCTTCATAACACTAACAGGCCCCAGTTGACGCATGACAGCTGAATACGTAAATGTTTTAGTAATGACAGCCCAGTCGAACATGTTCTGAAGGAAGGATGTGTTGGTTCATGAGCATGTACAGCTAAACACATCAGCTTTCTGAAATAATTCTGCTTCATTGTCACCATTTCTTTTAATTTGAAAGCAGATACCACAGCACTGAGAAATGACAGGGTGCATCAAATATACACAATGGTTTAAATATTTACGTCTCCAACTGATCTTTTTTGCGAAGGTTTTTGGCTGATTAGAAATATCATGCAGAGAGGCATCATAAGAATACATCTTTATTGGCGACTATTCAGGGTTTCGGTCACAAGGAAATATTGACAGTAGAAACTGAATTTTACAACTGAATCTCAGATAACGCAGTGTTCTGTGGTCTTTGTGAATGTTGAAGTCTTCTTCAATTTTGTATTGAGAACTAGCGCCAGGAAGCTGGAGAAAGCTGCTTTCTGACAGTTCTTGTGAGTGATTTTACTGGTTGGTCAAAGTTGGGGAAAGATCATTGTGACGTGGTCTGTAATATGTCCTCATATCAGTGTTTAATATTCCCGCCTGCCCCACCGTCCGGAATGGTCCATTTTTATCTTGGACGGTCAAATTTCAAAGGTAGCCTGTCCGGTAGATATTTTTTACCCCTAACAGTAGATATTTAATAATATCAGAGAGGTTCTCTTCATGTCAGATAGAGGTGTTTAAGGTATTATGAAAATTATGTTAAACTACTTAAGATTGGACAGTTCATGTTACCTAAACTTAGTGCATTGCCTGTTAGTGCTATGTAGTTCATTGTAGAGTTGGGAATTGGTTGAAATCTCACAACTGATGATTGCTTCATTACCAACGAACAATCATCGAAAACAATTGGTTAGCGTCATTTTTCAGATTTTCCTATCCAGGTTGTTACTGCAGAAAAGTATAACATGATGCAACTTGTAACTTTAAAGTGATGACTAATATATCATGAACATAAACTTCCTGGAGTCTTAGAGAAATATTTAGTCATGACTTTTCAGTTAGTGAAGTGAGTTTTCTAAGAAATAAACATGTTTCCAGGCCCTGACAACTTCTAAGATATGTTCCATTGTCAAGTACAGTCAGCTCTCGTTAATCCGACAAAAAATTAGGGAACCATTTAAAACAGTGATAATTACTCTCGTTAATCCGACATTCTCGCATTCCGACTCTGACACACCAATCTAGCAACCGATCATTGTAAATACATTGTAAAAACATTCGTTAATCCGACAATCAACACAGCCGGTCGGATGATCCGACCGTATACAAACATCACACATGAAAGGTGATTAGCGCGTGCCTTACTGGCTGCTTAACACCCACGTCAGTGAACATCACACTTGTTAATTAGGAACACAGGATAATTAATTGATGCGATTTAATCAAGAAATAACAGTAGAGCGAGCTGTATAAAATGTTTACAACCGACATGAGTTTTCATCACAAGATGTCTGTCACGAAAGTACACCAGCTGCTAAGCGACCCCTTATAGAAGTCACGCCATTGATCAAGAAAGAAATCTCCTTTTGAAGAAAGACAAACCCCAGACAGCACAACAAGAAGTCATCACTTTTGCTGAGCAGAAGTTTGATGTGAAGATTGGACGATCAACCGTATCTGACATCCTGAAGCAGTCTGCTTAGTGGTTGAGCCGCCTCTACGACTGATTCCAATGCTTCAAGCTATCTGAGGCCAAAACATCGTTGAACACTTTGCAAACATTTCTGACACACCACTTAGAAGTGTTTGATGTTAATGACCATCAAAGACTTTTCAAGTTATAAATTATATATGTTATGATACACACCTGATTGTACATTAGACGTCCACATGTTATTATGGAATTAGTTGTATGGAAACTGTAACATATTCAACATCTGGGTCATAATGGCAGCTGATATGCGGTAAAAACAAACGTGAGTTTTGTGCCAATGTGGTCATGAAATAGATATGAAACTGTTCGCTTATGTGATTATATATGTATGTTATGCCATCTATGAATGTTAATAAATGAAAACAAGTATGTATTGTTAGTATTTCTTATTTCTGTGAATATTTTTACATACGATGAAGATAACTAGATCTACCATTTCTGATATGCATGCAACAGTATGACGATCATGACATTTAGTAAACATTGATATTTTCACACAAATACATTAATCCGACATTTTCGTTAACCCGACATTTTCGTTAACCCGACATATTTCTCTGCAACCACAAGTGTCGGATTAACGAGAGTTGACTGTATTCTAAAGACTAAAACAGTAGTTCCAAAATATCGTTTATGTTCGATTATGAGAAAATGTGAGCGATTGCTTGGTCGTTTGGTCACTGCGACCAATCTTCGATTATTTCAAATAATCAGAACACCACTAGTTCATTGCGATGCCTACAAACAGTAAAGTATTCAGAAACCTGATCTCTTCTTTCTTAATTTCAAACAATGTATGCAAGTGCTCTTATCAAATATATCCCACCTTGTATTGTGTATGTCTTGCCCGAACTGGTGACACCATAGGTGAAAACAAGGCAGTTCTGGCCATCAATAAAGTCCCTGGCAAGGCCAAGCATGGTCTCATCAAAGAATTCCTTCTGGGTTGTATCTTGGTTAAAGATCTTGGAAAAGGTGAACTTGTAATTGGTCTTCCCCAGCCCATGTGTATAGTTCTTGAAGGTGTGTGAATCTTTGGGCGCATATGCTACTACAGAATTGTCAGATTCCATCTTCAAACATTTCTGAAATATGAAACAAAATGTCAACCAATTTCTAATCTTTTAAAACCCAATTAAGAACTAAAATTTATAATATAATAACATTGAATAAGAACATCCACTAAACAAATGACAAAGCGTGACTTTCTACAATGTCTACAGCCCTAAACATACCAAAGATACTGTTAACCTACAGTAAACTGACTTTGGGTGAACATGTCACTTGTCAGTACCAGCTGCACTGCAGAAACCATCAGAAACCACCTCACCTCTTCAAAACCACGACATTAGTGATCATTGGCTACATTTAGTGCAGTCTTGGGAAATTTGTGCCAAGACTGATTGCAGACTTGGGTTCAAATATTTGCAAATTAGGACTGCGACGATTCACCCAGACCTCGATTTGAGTCGATTTTCAACACTGGACCGCCGATTCGATCATTTTCGATTCAGTTCTTCATACAAGTAAAAACACCAGATTTCATTAACTCTCAGAGTCGACTTTTTAAGCGTGAAATCCATCGTCAATTTGGCGATGTCTAATAACAACAATTCTCATTGGTTAATTAGCCCGGGTGTCAACCAATCACGTTTCAACTTATTTCAGCGCTCGAAACTGCTGGAGCTGGAGTCAAAATTTTGTTCTGGCTGTGTGGAAATAATCTAAATAGGTATTCAAATATCAAGTCAAAATAGTGATATTGGTTATCGAAAATCTAAACTAAGGTGTCGATTCGATTTTCGAAGAATCAAACAATCGTTTCAGCTCAATTGCAAATGCCTCTGAATAAATCCCTGATGTGGCCATTTACATATCTGTCATTAAGACTTAAGCAAAATATTTGTGAATGAACTGAAACCATCGTAACTCACCTGGTCTTCGTCTTTGTCTTTTTCTTCTTCTGAGAATGGACGGACACGTAAGTACACTTTCATGTGGTCTGATGCAGGGTCAGCAGACACTGTCTGACTTTTGGAAAAAGTATCCAACAGGTTCTTTTTGGCATCTTCAAATATGACGTCTGATTCTCTTGTGTCGCTAACATTTTCAGGAGGACCCATGATCTCCGAAAACAACCTCTTCTTCCCAGCCATCTTGGTGCCTTGAACAATGTATTTGTTTAGATATGATAAAATCCTACATAGCTGAAAACAACTTTACTTGTAAGCTATATACCATTATCATGAACATTAGCAACAAAAACAGTGATTAGAATCGGTTGTGTTGCTACTTTAGTCAGTAGCAGTTAGGTAAAGTCTTACTTTGCCTCAAGGATATGTGTGCAATTGTATTGCTGATCAACTGGCATTCAATCAAAATAATCTTTTCCATGTTTTTTTTTACAATTACGGTTCAAGGTTTCCAAATCCAACAAAATGAGAATTACCTAAAAGGTAACATGAATTAATTGTGGTCTACCATTTTATACTAAAGTTGAAATTTAAAACGTTTAGGTTAAACAAATGTTTCCTCTGCCAGTTCTGTAATCTATATGTATATGCATATGTCATGTCCAGGGATGGAAATTAGCATCAGTCTGCAGTCAGTGTGAAGGAGATCATAAGGACGAGACAAATTTCACACATTTTTAGCTTTTGCAATAAGTGGGGGCATGGTGGGCGAGCCGTCTAAGGTGCCAGGTTAGTTATCCAGCGAGCTTGAGGTGCCGGGATTGAGCCCACCTGTGACTGGGTGTAAAAACCTTGGAGTCAACTTAACTGTGCACTTAAAAGAACCCACGAATCGGTTGGTATATATGATCAGATGGTGGCCACAAGAATATGTGCAAACGCCTAGTTGCAGGTACAGCAACGTGTGCAGTAAACTTGGACAAAGTACTGTCACTATGTGTCTTACATTTATCTATGTAAAACAAAGCAATAGTAGCTTTTGAGAAGCTGTGTCAATTTAGACAGCGTTGAACAATTGATTCCAACAATACTTTCAAAACATCTTGTCATCAAACACTGTCAAAACACCCACCCATGAGCCAGCCTTATTGTTCCAGGATGTGCCCCATGTCATAATTTGTTACTTATACGTAACTTTGCTGTTAATCTCTGAGTATAAGTAATCTGGAGTTATCTTACCTATACAAATGTGATAACCATGTCCTTTGAAAATCGTTTTACCGATAAATGTACTTGCACCTGCACTAAAACGTATTGAATATGTTGAATGAAAGAAAAAAAATATGAAATGAAAAAGTCAACAAAGAAGGTCCCCAAAATGTGACAATATGACAGGATTTAATAAGTTTCATATTTAATGAAACCTTTTTAAATCTGGGTTTCATAATGTCTATAAATAAATACATTCAGAAAGTTGTTGAGGTGACTAAATTTGGACGAAGTGCTGTCAGCAGCTGCATCGACAGTGTTTTCACTTGGGGAATTGCAACAAAGGGGCCAACGTTACCGTATCGACAGACAAGATACAACTTGGGATCTTAAAGATAAAAAATAAGAATAGGCAGTGATTACGGTGCTGAAAGTTGTTGTACCCCGTCCATAACAAACAGAGGAAAACAGTCGAGTCGTACCTCGAATCATACACGTCACATGAATATATAACCACAAAGACTTTCTCGATCAACTGTTGACAAATTGGGTCGAAAAGCAGCTACTATTATACATTATCCCGTTGTTTCGTTTACTGAATCAAACTTGTCTTAGTAAACTTACCTCTTTTTAGAAATCCAACAGTCAAACTTGAGAAAACATGTTGGCTTGATCAGACACCAACTTCGCGCTTAGGCTTTTGAAATGGACCAATCACAGGATCAAAATAGTGCAAGGGAGGTAACTCTAAGAAAGCGCCCTGGAAGATAGCCGCTAAATGTGACATGGACAGTACAAGTTGTGCCTGATCAACCATCCAAACAACGCCCACTTCTGTTAAACATGGATGTAGTTCAAATTGTTTATTTAATTACTCTTAATGATAACAAGAAATTATAGAACAGATTGTTCAGAAAGGGGCGTGAGTAGAGTAGTTTGTTTCGCATCGGAGGTGGGCGAGACTGCGTGAGACCAACTTCGGGGGTTCCCGGGGGTACAATGGAGTCCCCCGTATGTCTAAAAGTACAGTACGAGGCGATTTGATGGATCGAGTTGTATTATTTATTTGCTTGCCACTGTACCCCGATCGCGTGCTGATCAATGCTGATATTTCATTGTTTGTTGTTTGACGACGGGCTCAGCTGTATTTCAGCTATATATGACAGCGGTCTATAGAAAAGCTGATCGGGACCAGACAATCCAGTGATCGATATCATGAAGACCTACCTCCGCAACTGGGATACGATGACACGCACTTATCAACTAAGTCAGTGAGCCTGACCAGTCAATCCCGTTATTCTCATTTTACTACAGAGCATGGGTTGATAAAGGCCAATTCTATCCTAACTCTCTGCTGCATGGCCTCCGTGCTTATATATGATATGAATCACTGGGTTGTCTGGTTTAAGACTCTGTTACTTTCAGACAGCTGTCGTACAGCCGAATATTGCGTTAAGCTACAATCTTAACAACATAAATTCGAAATATATAAGGATATGTAAATATTATTAATATATTAATATATAATTAGGAAATATATATATAAGTGAGTGTGATTAACTTTTCCATATGTAGTCTACATTAGGATTTGTGCTGGAATTTAAGGAGTGAGTGGGTGAATACGCCGCTTTTAGCAATATTCTAGCAATATAACGGCGGCAGACACCAGAAATAAGCTTCACACATTGCACCCACGAGTGAATGCTTTCACCACCAGGTTACCCTTAAGCCCTGGCGGGACGGTGGGGTAGCCTAGCGGTTAAACCGTTCGCTCGTCACGCCGAAGACCCGGGATCGATTCCCCACATGGGCAAAATGTGTGAATCCCATTTCTGGTGTCCACCGCCGTGATATTGCTGGAATATTGCTAAAAGCGGTGTAAAACCATACTCACTCACTCACTCACTTAAGCCCTGTCATAAAATGAATTGCTGTGTTAACCAGGTTGTTGTAGCGGAGGACTTCTAAGCGTCAGGGGCGGTGGTCTGGTTAAAGCGTTCGCTCATCACACACATATATAACAAGGCCAAGGTTCGAATCATTTCAAGGTTTAAAGAAAGGTGTGTTGCTGTAGATATTCAGTTTTTCTTTGACAGTATCTTAAGTTATTCTAAACTTCAGTTATATAAATCTATTAAAATGAAATAAATGTTAGGATTATTTATTGTTTGCTACTTGGCCAACTTATCGTATTGCACTTTGTAAGTTCCAATGTCCAAACCACCAATTGTTAATCGAGGAAGGACGAAAGACCGGCCTAGCACGGTGCGAAAGATTATGTCCATTTTGCATTGTACACATTGTTGAGTACTTCTGCATGGAATGTTACTTTTATAATAATCTTCGTCGGAACCTACTTCCTAAATATTTTCATTCTTCCCTAACTATTTGTAAATTTGTAAAACTTATGTCATCGCGTAATACTTGTCTTATTAATAGTGGAGCTAATTATGTATTTTTAGCCTTCAAGAAACGCTCAAAAAAGTGTCATTTTACGGCGCTTCATCGTTGATTCATGTCTCATGCTGTAAGTACCTGTATATAATTGGCCGGCGGCCCCCTTACTAAAATATGCACAGTTTCAGATAGCCTACATTGGCGCTAAATATATATTTTTTTAAAAACATTTCTTGCGTTCCCCAGTACCCAACAGAGATATTGGTGGGAGGTGAAAAATGAGTCGCAAAGTCAAAGGACTGACCGACTGAATATGGTTTTAGCAATATTCCAGCAACATCACGGCGGGGGACACCAGAAATGGGCTTCACAAATTGTACCCATGTGGGGATTCGAACCCGGGTCTTCGGCGAGCCAACGCTTTAACCACTGGGCTACCCCATCGCCCCACAAAGTCAAAGGAAAACACTTCAGTTTTTTAGGTTTGAAACCTGCTTTTTCAAACTTTAATATGTTTTTTAACACGGGTTACGATCATCACTGGTATGGGCACGTTTCACAAAGCGATATTAAGCACAAAATCCCAAACTTTAAACTGATCTCCGTTTATTCGCTGTGGAGCTGTGGGGTAGCCTAGTGGTTAAAGCGTTCGCTCGTCACGCCGAAGGCCCGGGTTCGATTCCCAACATGGGTACAATGTGTGAAGCCCTTTTCTGGTGTCCCCCGCCAATGTTGCTGGAATATTGCTAAAAGCGGCGTAAAACCATACTCACTCAATTATTCGCTGTGAATGTTTGTTACTTTTGTTTTCGGGGTTTTCTTTCCTTTTTTCATGTCATGGTTTTAAGCACTTTGACAAAACTGTCTAAAGAATGTGGGACAGATATTTCAGTCAATTTGTGAAATGACTGAAATCTCTAGAAGTATTCTTAAATGCCTTAGTGAATCATATTTAACGCAAGTCAACGATTTTTGGGGGTTGTTTGTTATTTTACGCCGCATTCAGCAATATTCCATCTATACGCAAGTCAACGAAAATGCTTGACCAAGAAAAATAGACTCTGAAAAACTTCCCAACCATACTGGAAATACAGTAGAATGGTTCAGTTCGGTGCAACAACAAATGACCGAAAGTAAAACGAGAATGTTAAAAATTACATCCGACAAAAGTTGTATACCTTGTTCGAGTGAGTGAGTGTGAATTTAGTTTTACGCAGCACTCACTAATATTCCAGCTATATGGCGGCGATCTGTAAATAATCGTGCCAGGACCAGACAGTCCAGTGATCAACAGCATGAGCATCGATCTACGCAATTGGGAAACGATGACATGTGTGACGCAAGTCAGCGTGGCTGACCACCCGATGTCGTTAGTCGCCTCTTACGACGACAAGCATGGGTTGCTGAAGACCAATTCTAACCCGGATCTTCACGGGTCACCTTGTTCGAGGGAGTGAGTGAGTGAGTAAGGTATTACACTGCTTTTAGCAATATTCCAGCAATATCACGGCGGGGTACACCAGAAATGGTCTTCACACATTGCACCCATATGGGAAATCGAACCCGGGCCTTCGGCGTGACGAGTGATCGCTTTAACCACAAGGCTACCCAGTAACCCCCACCGCTCCCCATGACACGCAGACGGTCACTTCTGTCATTGTGTGTGAGCGTGTGTGCATGCATCGTTACAGGAATACAAGCTATATATACAAGCGAAATATACGCTGGTCCTGTGGTCCCTGGCTAGTAGAAAGTCATCAGGGCCACTAAATGATAAGTTTGGTGTTGTCCTGGTACCCAGTGTATTTCGTATTGATAGTTAAGTAAATCTATACGAATGTTATTTGGAGCAATGAAGTACAGACAGGACCACTAAATATTGTCCACTCACTGGTCCTGTGGTCCAGTGGGAAATTGTTAAAGATTTCTTTCCCAGAAATAGCCCATAAACAATTGAGTTTGGACAACTCCGCCGGGCACATGCATTTCATAATCGAGATAAATTCGGGATTCTCGATCCCATTGTATCCCAAATTAAGCTGACTGACACAAGACATTATATTATGGGTTTGTGTGAAAAATGACACAAAAAATATTCTGCAAAAATATATTTATTGTTCATTGAGCTAATAGCATTTAGGCTGTCAAATAAGGCACAACTGGACACACAATGCAATTTAGGAGTGAACTTACAACCTATTTTTACATTTAGGCCTACTGGGGTCGAAATGAAGAGAAAGCTGCTGGATCCGAAAACGTCGCAGCCAACCGAGACACAATTAAGAGGCCAAATGTCTTATGACCATAATGCAAATACTGATAAATGCTTCAAGTTCTTCACATTGTCACTTTAAGTTTCCCTATTCAAATGATGGGGATTCAGTGACCCTGTCAAGATTGAGACAGTTTCATTAATGTAGATTTGAACACTAATCATCAGATAAATGCCAGAAATGGATTTTAGTGAGGAAGTACTGATATAGCGCTTTGAGCACCCACTTAGTGGTTGGATTTAGCGCTATATAAATTTTCATTATTATTATTATATATTTGTCTGGAAAATAATGTTAAAAATGTACTCACTGAAACAATATCTTTAGACATAGGTGTAGTCCTTAGCAAGTGTTGGGCAGTATAGCTCTAGGCCTTATCGAGAGGCAGCCAATGAGAATCTAAGCTACAGAATTCGATGTTAGACTAAATAAACTTGTACATTTACAACATGGAGCTAAGTAATGTAGCCGGTATGTCAGCAGGTATAACAAGTGTATGCTTCATATCGCAGTGCCTACTGGGGTGAAACAATATGTCCGCTCAAGGGTGCATGGTGAGATCTCACGCAATGATACAAAACACGATCCGTTAGTTTCTTTGTAGATACAAGACCTAACATTTAAAAAAATACATTATTTCATGCATTAACCACCCCACCCACCCCCAAATAAAACCCAAAAAATAAAATAAAATAAAATAAAAAAAACATAAAAAATTGAATGACTTACTGACGTTTTTGTCTGAGAAATATTGCCCAATGTGATATTAGCATTTGATGCTCATTAGAGAAATAACAGCTGTGTATGATGTCGTCAGTAGCTTTCCATTCTGAACCGGATCTGAAATATTTGTATTCAAGACTTTCAAGACCTAAATTCGCGTATTGCTACATGTATCGCATGGAATGTATCATGATACAAATCATATCGGAACTTGGTGCATCGTTTCACCTTCCGTATCTACTGCGACAGTATGCTTCCGGCTGGCTCAAGAAGCAGTGTTTATAGCCGCATGATGCTGAAGCCGACGTGGAGGAGATCAAGCATCTCAACGGGGCCCTGCAACAAGAGAAATCACATTCACAATATGACCGGGAACAAACATTCATTACTGTCACTGGGATATGACAGAATGACGTGATCCTTGACACGCCAAGACAGATTAACTACGGTAGTATGACAGAATGACGTGATCCTTGACACGCCAAGACAGATTAACTACGGTAGTATAACAGAATGGCGTGACCCTGGACATGCCAAGACAGATTAACTACGGTAGTATGACAGAATGACGTGATCCTTGACACGCCAAGACAGATTAACTACGGTAGTATGACAGAATGACGTGATCCTTGACACGCCAAGACAGATTAACTACGGTAGTATGACAGAATGACGTGATCCTTGACACGCCAAGACAGATTAACTACGGTAGTATGACAGAATGGCGTGATCCTTGACACGCCAAGACAGATTAACTACGGTAGTATGACAGAATGACGTGATCCTTGACACGCCAAGACAGATTAACTACGGTAGTATGGCAGAATGGCGTGATCCTTAACAAATCATGACAGATTAACTACGGTAGTATGACAGAATGGCGTGATCTTTAACATGCCAAGACAGATTAACTACGGTAGTATGACAGAATGACGTGATCCTTAACAAATCATGACAGATTAACTACGGTAGTACGACAGAATGGCGTGATCCTTAACAAATCATGACAGATTAACTTCGGTAGTATGACAAAATGGCGTGATCCTTGACATGCCAAGACAGATTAACTACGGTAGTATGACAGAATGACGTGATCCTTGACACGCCAAGAGAGATTAACTACGGTAGTATAACAGAATGGCGTGATCCTTAACAAATCATGACAGATTAACTACGGTAGTATGACAGAATGGCGTGATCTTTAACATGCCAAGACAGATTAACTACGGTAGTATGACAGAATGGCATGATCCTTAACAAATCATGACACATTAACTACGGTAGTACGACAGAATGGCGTGATCCTTAACAAATCATGACAGATTAACTTCGGTAGTATGACAAAATGGCGTGATCCTTGACATGCCAAGACAGATTAACTACGGTAGTATGGCAGAATGGCGTGATCCTTAACAAATCATGACAGATTAACTACGGTAGTATGACAGAATGGCGTGATCTTTAACATGCCAAGACAGATTAACTACGGTAGTATGACAGAATGGCATGATCCTTAACAAATCATGACACATTAACTACGGTAGTACGACAGAATGGCGTGATCCTTAACAAATCATGACAGATTAACTTCTGTAGTATGACAGAATGGCGTGATCCTTAACAAATCATGACAGATTAACTACGGTAGTATGACAGAATGGCGTGATCCTTAACAAATCATGACAGATTAACTTCGGTAGTATGACAGAATGGCGTGATCCTTAACAAATCATGACAGATTAACTACGGTAGTATGACAGAATGGCGTGATCCTTAACAAATCATGACAGATTAACTTCGGTAGTATGACAGAATGGCGTGATCCTTAACAAATCATGACAGATTAACTACGGTAGTATGACAGAATGGCGTGATCCTTAACAAATCATGACAGATTAACTACGGTAGTATGACAGAATGGCGTGATCCTTGACATGCCAAGACAGATTAACTACGGTAGTATGACAGAATGGCGTGATCCTTAACAAATCATGACAGATTAACTACGGTAGTATGACAGAATGGCATGATCCTTAACAAATCATGACAGATTAACTACGGTAGTACGACAGAATGGCGTGATCCTTAACAAATCATGACAGATTAACTTTGGTAGTATGACAGAATGGCGTGATCCTTAACAAATCATGACAGATTAACTACGGTAGTATGACAGAATGGCGTGATCCTTAACAAATCATGACAGATTAACTACGGTAGTATGACAGAATGGCGTGATCCTTAACACGCCAAGACAGATTAACTACGGTAGTATAACAGAATGGCGTGATCCTTAACACGCCAAGACAGATTAACTACGGTAGTATGACAGAATGGCGTGATCCTTAACAAATCATGACAGATTAACTACGGTAGTATGACAGAATGACGTGATCCTTAACAAATCATGACAGATTAACTACGGTAGTATGACAGAATGGCGTGATCCTTAACATGCCAAGACAGATTAACTACGGTAGTATGGCAGAATGGCGTGATCCTTAACAAATCATGACAGATTAACTACGGTAGTATGACAGAATGGCGTGATCCTTGACACGCCATGACAGATTAACTACGGTAGTATAACAGAATGGCGTGATCCCTAACAAATCATGACAGATTAACTTCGGTAGTATGACAGAATGGCGTGATCCTTGACACGCCATGACAGATTAACTACGGTAGAATGACAGAATCGCGTGATCCTTAACATACCAAGACAGATTAACTACGGTAGTATGACAAAATGGCGTGATCTTTAAGATGCCTTGACAGATTAACTACGGTAGTATGGCAGACTTGAGTGATTACTCTTCCTACAAATAATCTTTAAATCATATGTACATGAACGTCCAGAATACCTCATACACATTACTCTTACTGAAGGTACAATGTGTGAAGCCGATTTCTGGTGTAAAACCATACTCTCACTCACTCACTCACTCACTCACTCACTGAAGAGGTAAGAGATGGGAAGTAGGAGTTTGAAGCACGTCGTTATTGGGAACCTACCTCTTCACAATAATCTGGGGCCACGAAGACAGACGGATCCTTGATGCCACTCGTCAGGTCGTTGAAGCCCACATTTGAGAAGAAAGTGGCTACAGAGAAAAGATTGTTAGTTTTTAAAACCAAATTAGGCAAAATGTTTTTGTTTTTGCAGGTCCACAAACGTATTCTAATGAGATGGCCTCACAAAATACAACTAATTGATTGTTACTTTTTTCTTCATTTTGATTTCTGTTATCTGACAATTGTGATCTTATCGTATCTGTGGCTTACATTTTTAAGACCCTGAAACTTTGAAAAGTGCATGTCAATAAACTTGTTATATAGTCGCCACAGTACTGACTGACTGAGTTTGGTTTTACGCCGCTTTTAGCAATATTCCAGCAACATCACGGCGGGGGACACCAGAAATGGGCTTCACACATTGTACTCATGTGGGGATTCGAACCCGGGTCTTCGGCGTGACGAGCCAACGCTTTAGCCACCAGGCTACCCCACCGCCCCTCCACAGTATGGACCATGCTTATGGTGTAAAGGTCCACTCGTGAAGATCCGGGTTAGAATTGGTCTTCAGTAGCCCATGCTTGTCGTTAGAGGCGACTAACGGGATAGGGTGGTCAGGCTCGCTGACTTGATTGACACATGCCGCATCCCAGCAGTGTATATCGATGCTCATGCTGTTGAGCACTGTATTGCTGAGTGCGGCGTAAAATAACAAGCCAACAACCAATGTAAAGGTGACACCAAATGAGGTAACTGTTTTAAACATATATCGGTTGGACTTTAAATATACACAAAGAACTTACTTGAGCACCCGCTGACATATCTCAAGACTGAATGAGCCCCGATCTTAACCCTTTGGAGCATATCTGAGACACGACTGGTCGTCGTGTGCAACAAGGGGATCCTCCTGTACAGAACCCGGCCCAATGGAAGCTGATTTACACGACTGCCTCTTCAGAGGCTGACAGGGGGTATGAGGAGGTGGGTGCTGGTTGACATACAGTCACATGGAGGTTACACTCGGTATTGACCTTGAATCGTGTAAGACACCCAAAACGACATTTTGAATGCTCACATTCACCAGTAAATTCAAAAATTAAACATTCCAGGGCCATACTGGTGCAGCCGTGGTTTTGCATGAAAGTCAGTGTTGTTTTGTTTTTTTCACAAAATGAGTGATTATTACCATAAAATCAACATGGATTCCAATCATTTTGCCGTTTTTCATGAGTGAAAGGATCATACGGGACGTTTTATGTACCTTATTGAAAACCTATTGTTGCAAAAATACAGGGCGTGCTTAATTAAGTTCTTTGTGCATATGATAATTCGTGTCTGTTTTTATTCAAACTCGACTTACCTCCCCTGATTGTCCCATACACGTTCTCCGTCGTGGGAACACACCCGTCCTGGGTGACGCACACGATGGTAGTCACATCATCACCATTCTTCTTAGCCCTCACTTCGTACCCCTGCATAGCCAGCGAATTTTCACCGATACCGAAAGCATAAGGGCCCAGGTCGACAGCATTGTCTAAAACAAAATGAATGTTAGTACACATAAATTTGAAAGGAGTACTTCCATAAGGACTGGGCATTGCTGGCGTTTGAACCGACAGTCCAAAATTACAAGAAAATAGAATAAAACTGGGCTTCACACATTGTACCCATGTGGGGAATCGAAACCAGGCCTTCGGCGTGACGAGTGAACGGTTAAACCACTTGGCTACCCCAACGCCCCTTACTGCTCCTGAGAGATCCAGATTATTTTCTAATAATAATTTCTCTGAAAAATGTCCTAAATAGGTGAATGAGTGTAATTGGACCCGTTCAGTGAACATTTGGTTACACTGTTTTGATGATAAGTGATCATATTTAAGCAAACGAAGGTAGTCAGGCGGTTGTTGAACATGAGTCTCATTCCTTGGTCGTTCTTTTTCAAGGAACTCCGAGGTAAATACATGCACAATTCTGATCCTTGCGGCAAAAGTTTGAGTGGTTGCTGTTCATTGCCACAGACACTCACAGAAGACCTGGGGTTAGAATTGGTACTAGAGCAATGAGGAACTCGACTGGTGTTAATAAATATATGGACTTTTCTAGTATTTGACTAACACGGCGACATATCTTCCGTGTATTTCCCAGAGACCATTGGAACCAATGGTACCAAATCAAATGGCAATACACTATAGGTATACGCACATCACCTTACACTGACCTGGAATACATGCTGCTTGGAACTTGGTTGGCAATTGGAAGGCTGTGCAGATCTTCTCTTTTGGGAGGATGAAGTACCCCCGACCCTAGAAAAACACATGAAGGCGTGCAGATGAGAGTGAATGTGAGAGTCACTTGTTTATTACCACATGGGACTATTTTTCAGTCAGCTGATGTCGTGAGCTAAGTATGAGAAGGAAGCGGAACGTCTGTCTTTTGCAGCCGATGTTCCCAAGTACGATGTTAGCAAACAAATCATCTGAAAACCATTTTCATTTCACTTGATCCTGGCACAACTAAGGGACGTAAGTCGTTGGTTTGGTTGGTTTGTTGTTTAACCCCCGCACTGAGCAATATTCCAGCTGTATGGCGGCGGGTTGTAACTAATCGAGTCTGGACCAGACAATCAACAGCATGAGCATCGATCTTCACAATAGAGATATGATGACATGTGTCAACCAAGTCAGCGAGCCTGACCACACGGTCCTGTTTGTCGCCTCTTTCGACAAGCATGGGTTGCTGAAGGCCAATTCTAACCCTGATGTTCACGGGTCAGGACGTAAGTCGTCACACTACCGGGTCGTAGATGACTGTGTTGCACCCGCCCAGCAATAGATGAAAACTGATAGAATGTCTCATCAGGAAGACAGGTTTTCATATTTTAAGCAAACAAGGGTAGTCAGGCGGTTGTTGAACATGAGTCTCATTCCTTGGTCGTTCTTTTTCAAGGAACTCCGAGGTAAATACATGTACAATTCTGATCCTTGCGGCAAAAGTTTGAGTGGTTGCTGTTCACTGCCACAGACACTCACACAAGACCTGGGTGTCGTTGTACAGAACGACCTAAGTCTTTCGTAAAGCTACGTTGAAGTATGGGACTTACGATCACCTTAGAGCTAAGGTTGTTTTGTACAACGGCACCCTGGGGTTAGAATTGGTACTAGAACAATGAGGAACTCGACTGGTGTTAATAAATAAACAGGAAAACTCATCACACTGATCTTCATATGATCAGGATTTAGTTATCTCGGCACCAGACAGTTTATGAAGTTAGCGTGGTACGACATGAATTGTAGCAGGGTGTTATCTCCTATGCCTCGGTGAAGTTATCTCCCTTAGCACATCGAGTTATCTCCCTTACCGTTTGGTAGTCATTGATGGCCCTGAATAAGATGACCTGGCCGTTTCTGGTATAGTTCCCGTATGAGGCCACCTTCTGTTCGACGGCGTCATATGATACTTGGTAGCGGCCCTGCAAAGGTGGGATCTGGATGTTAGCGCTTGTACAATCAGGGGGCGTCTTATTTTTTAGCGCAAAAAATGTAAAGGACCAGACTAGGGCTGTGACTGGTCCAAATATTCTACCCGGGTACCCCACCCCCTATTACCCTACTCTACCCGGACACCCGTTGTGTTAATTCCTGACATCAAATTTGTAAGAAATGGCAATATGTTCTTCAGTTCGGAAGCTAAAATATCGAGTTTTTCAATGCCTTAACCATGTATTATATTCAGAAGAGATGGCTGTAATTATGTCTAAATCTTCAAAGACATTACAACCTTTTAATCATGAAAGAATAACATATTACATTGTTTAATCTATTAGTCACATGATCATAACGGGTCTGGGTGTTGAGACGGGTACCCGGGTCCAACTCATTACCCACCCGTCCGGGTATCCAGGTTACCCGTCCTAGCCCTTGACCAGACGAATGAATGGATTCGCAAGAGCACACAGGTATGGTCAGGTAATAAAAGTGACCACGTCAGATTTTTGACACCAGTTAGATTCAAATAGTTTTACACCGCTTTTAGCAATATTCCGGCAATATCACGACGGGGGACACCAGAAATGGGCTTCACACATTGTACCCATGTGGGGAATCGAACCCGGGTCCCGAGCTGGCAGATATGCTAAACTGTATTGAAATGAACAACACTGTCGCTGCCGTAGGAGCGAATCTATATAAGTATTTAAAACTTCATTATTCACGCCGAAAATTTTCAGATCAGCCCGGTCACGTGATAAGCCTACTTGTGTTTCCCAAAGACAGCTTCTAGCACCAAGAGAGAAAAAAGAGGCTTTTGATAGCGAGGTCCCTGGGCTGTAAGCCTCGGCCGGGTCCAGGGTGGAACCTGGTAGGGGGTTCAGGCGGACGAAGCCCTCTTGAAACTAATGCATAATTGCAAATTCCCTTCTCAGAAAAGTCACTGAAAACGATGGATTCAGACCAATTTGAGTGGTTTTAAGTGGTCAAAATGTGCACGGGGCGGTGTGGTAGCCTAATGGTTAAAGCGTCCGCTTGTTACGCTGAGGATCAGGGTTCGATTCTCAACATTGGTACAATGTGTGAAGCCCATTTCTGGTGTCCCCCAGGTCGTGATATTGCTATAATATTGCTAAAAGCGGCGTAAAACCCAACTCACTCAAATTGAAAACGTCAAGCTGTCGTGACAACTCTGTAGGTGCATGCTTTAGGTCAGACATGATTACATCAGTCCAAAAGTGAGTGAGTATAGTTTTACGCCGCTTTTAGCAATATTCCAGCAATATCACGGCGGGGGCACCAGAAATGGGCTTCACACATTGTACCCATGTGAGGGAATCGAACCCGGGTCTGCGGAGTGACGAGCGAACGCTTTAACCACTAGGAAAAATTAACAACTCACGGTTTTGATCACGGGTGGTCCAGCCACGAGCCGTCCTCTTTTCTGGACGAATTGCCCGTAAGTGAACTGATAGCCTTCCCATCGTTCTGGGGCACAGCAGATGTTACCGAGGGCGACGGTGGCAAAACAGGCCACTAAAACTGCTTGTAGAATCATGGCAAGAATTAACTTCTGACAAGGATGATGCTTCTGGTCTGAGCCGATCGAGAGTTGTGACGCTCCGAGCAAACGGGGGCCGGCTTTTATTGATCTTCCACCCGGGTGTGCTTGTTTCTGATCGGCAGTGTTTTTCCCAATTTTTTGGGACTGACGCCCTGAGCCGATCCACTGAACCCTCTATGTGGCTACCTAGCGTGGTGTCACATGGAGAGATATCAAAAGGGTATATCACTACAATGTTTAACAATAAGGTGTTTATGTAACTTAGATGGGGGGAGGGGGGGTGTTTATATAACTCAGTTGGGGTGGGGTGTGGGGAGGGGGGTGGGTGGGTGTTTGTCGGATTGGGTAAACAGGGTAGTGGTTGCGGGTGAGTAGAAGAGACAGCCCTTTGAATTTCAGCTGAGCACTGTCATGGGAAAATATGATGCATAATGTCAAACGTTCTTGTTTGAGGGCTAGAATATGTAACGGGTTCAGAAAAGGGGCCTCCAAAATTAACTTTTAATTGCGATGCCCACATTTAAAATCTAATAAACAGGTGCGCAAAGAAGCTAAACACCCTCCGCTAAACACCCTCCTTCGGCTGCGTAATCTAAAGGATTCGCTACATAATAACATAGCCATTTCAGGACAAACGGGGGTGGGGGATTGCACAGTTCGTTCTCATCCGTTTTCATGAGTTTCAATGGTCAATTCAGGACAGAGGGGTTGGGGGTGGGCACTTGCCCCTTGCACACACCACAAAAATTGGAGTCGAAATTAATAAATAAACAAACAAACCCAAACATCGCCCAAACCACACCACAAGCTGACATACATGATCACTTGACAACATTGGTGCCACATTTACACATTTACACCGACTATCCTTTGATCCAGGTACAAAACGCGCAGGTTTCGGCACCCACACATCGCAACCCTCTAGGCAAACTAAACCACGCTGACTCAAAAACAACCAATTAGTTCTTATGACAGAACTAATGGGTATAGTAACAGCCCTCCAGCCCTGATGCGCTCGTCAAACAATTAAGATTTTAACAGACTCACTTACAAACACCGAGAAAACCCATATAACCCAAACAAAACGAAGTGCTAAAAAAGCACTCAGGGTCTACAGGTACAGTTCATATGGATCCCTGTCCATGTCGGTGTGTTTGGCAACGAACACGCCGACCATCAGCCAGAGTGAGTGAGTGAGTATGTTTTTTATGCTGTTTTAGCAATATTCCAGCAATATCACGGCGAGGGACACCAGAAATGGCTTCACACATTGTACCCATGTGGGGAATCGAACCCGGGTCTTCCTCGCGACGGGCCACCGCTTTAACCACTAGGCTACCAACCGCACCCCATCAGCCAGTAGTTAACTTAAACATACCATTATCTGAAAAGCGAAATCAAAAGTCTATTAAAACAAAGCATTCTTCTTAACGTGAAAGTCAGTACATGTACCAAAATTCAAATTCTAAAGAAAAAAACTACTCCCAAAACCACACACAAACTAACAATCAACCATAAATCTAAAAATATTGACAGGGCGATAACCAAATTACAAATGGGAAACGCAAAATTAAATTCCCATACATAGAATAAAAAAACAACAACACTAAACGCGAAAATCACATAGCAACGAAACAGAAACAAACCCTCATAAAACAAACAGAAATATATAGTGAAGACACAGAAAGAAGGAAACTTATGGAAGGAAAGGAGCTGGAGGAATGGGTGAAAGAAAGAAAGAAGGAAATAATGGAAAAGAAGGAAAGTGGAGGAAATGGACACAGAAAGAAGGAAAAGACTGGAATGGAAGATAAGGAATAGGAAGGCAATGGAAGAAAGGAAATAGGTATGGACACATAAAGAAGGAAACTTATGGAAGGAATTAGAAAGGAAATGGAAGGTATGGAACCACAGTGGACAAACCAGAAGGAAAGGAATGGAATGGACGAATGGATGGAATGGAATGGAATGGAAGAAAGACGCCAACGATGGTCAAGAATCAGACCACACGGACGGAACATGATCGCCGGTACGACCAGTGGATCGCCGAAGATGAACCGAACCGAAGACGTCAAGACAACTGTGGACAAGGAAGACCAGGACTGCGGACCACGACCCAGGACAGGACCACAGACCACGGCACAAGGAAAGGAACATGGCACAGGGACGGCCACAAGACCAGGAACGCCGGAAGGATGGAAAGACCAAGGACAAACAAGATGGAACGAATCAATGGAAGACAACACAAGATGGAATCACACAAGACACACCAGGCAGTGAAGATGGAAGACCACACACAAGACAGCACAGACCCCAGGACACAGACAGACGACCCCAGGAGGACCGACCCAGGCCAAGACCAGGTAGACGGCCAGGAAGGAAGAACAGTGGAGGACCGCCCAGGACAAATACGGAGGAACAGGACAACACAAGGAAAAGGACAGGCATGTGGCAGGACCCCAGCACAAGGACCACGGAAAGGCACAAGGACCCAGGACCACACAAGGACCCAGGACAGGAAAGACCAGGACAAAAGACACAGTGGACCCAGACAAAAAGATGGAAAAAAGGACAGTGGCTGGACCCAGTGGCCAAGACCAGGGTGGACGGCATGGAAGGAAAAGGATCACAGGACCATGGACACAGAAGTAGTGTAGACGTCAGTACAAGATGGGTGCCAATCAGGGACGTCAGTACAAGTAGTAATAGACGTCAGTACAAGATGGGTGCCAATCAGGGGTAAGTAGTATAGACGTCAGTACAAGATGGGTGCCAATCAGGGCAAATTAGTATAGACGTCAGTGCAAGATGGAATGCCAATCACCGGAAAGTAGTATAGACGTCAGTACAAGATGGACGTCAGTACCAATCACGGGTAGTATAGGACGTCAAGTAGTAGTAGACGTCAGTACAAGATGGGTGCCAATCAGGGCAAGTAGTGTAGACGTCAGTACAAGATGGGTGCCAATCAGGGCAAAGTAGTATAGACGTCAGTACAAGATGGGTGCCAATCAGGGCCAAGTAGTATAGTGTAGACGTCAGTGCAAGATGGGTGCCAATCAGGGCAAGTAGTATAGACGTCAGTGCAAGATGGGTGCCAATCAGTGGAAGATGGGTGCCAATCAGGTAAGTAGTGAGACGTCAGTGCAAGATGGGTGCCAATCAGGGCAAGTAGTATAGACGTCAGTGCAAGATGGGTGCCAATCAGGGTAAGTAGTGTAGACGTCAGTACAAGATGGGTGCCAATCAGGGTAAGTAGTGTAGACGTCAGTACAAGATGGGTGCCAATCAGGGTAAGTAGTATAGACGTCAGTACAAGATGGGTGCCAATCAGGGTAAGTAGTAGTAGACGTCAGTACAAGATGGGTGCCAATCAGGGTAAGTAGTGTAGACGTCAGTGCAAGATGGGTGCCAATCAGGGCAAGTAGTGTAGACGTCAGTACAAGATGGGTGCCAATCAGGGTAAGTAGTAGTAGACGTCAGTACAAGATGGGTGCCAATCAGGGTAAGTAGTAGAGTGTAGACGTCAGTACAAGATGGGTGCCAATCAGGGCAAGTGCCAGACGTCAGTACAAGATGGGTGCCAGGGCCGTGCAGTGTAGACGTCAGTACAAGATGGGTGCCAATCAGGGTAAAGTAGTATAGACGTCAGTACAAGATGGGTGCCAATCAGGGCAAGGGCAAGTCAGTACAAGATAATGAGGTCAAGTAGCGTCAGTACAAGATGGGTGCCAATCAGGGTAAGTAGTGTAGACGTCAGTACAAGATGGGTGCCAATCAGGGCAAGTAGTATAGACGTCAGTACAAGATGGGTGCCAATCAGGGTAAGTAGTGTAGACGTCAGTGCAAGATGGGTGCCAATCAGGGCAAGTAGTATAGACGTCAGTGCAAGATGGGTGCCAATCAGGGTAAGTAGTATAGACGTCAGTACAAGATGGGTGCCAATCAGGGTAAGTAGTGTAGACGTCAGTACAAGATGGGTGCCAATCAGGGCAAGTAGTGTAGACGTCAGTACAAGATGGGTGCCAATCAGGGTAAAGTAGTATAGACGTCAGTACAAGATGGGTGCCAATCAGGGCAAGTAGTGTAGACGTCAGTACAAGATGGGTGCCAATCAGGGCAAGTAGTGTAGACGTCAGTACAAGATGGGTGCCAATCAGGGCAAGTAGTGTAGACGTCAGTACAAGATGGGTGCCAATCAGGGCAAGTAGTGACGTCAGTGATGGGTGCCAATCAGGGTAGTGTAGTAGTGGGTGCCAATAGACGTCAGTACAAGATGGGTGCCAATCAGGGTAAAGATAGTAATCAGACGTCAGTACAAGATGGGTGCCAATCAGGGTAAGTAGTGTAGACGTCAGTACAAGATGGGTGCCAATCAGGGCAAGTAGTGTAGACGTCAGTACAAGATGGGTGCCAATCAGGGTAAGTAGTATAGACGTCAGTACAAGATGGGTGCCAATCAGGGCAAGTAGTGTAGACGTCAGTACAAGATGGGTGCCAATCAGGGCTAAGTAGTATAGACGTCAGTGCAAGATGGGTGCCAATCAGGGTGAAGTAGTATAGACGTCAGTACAAGATGGGTGCCAATCAGGTGGGCAAGTAGTATAGACGTCAGTACAAGATGGGTGCCAATCAGGGTAAAGTAGTGTAGACGTCAGTGCAAGATGGGTGCCAATCAGGTGTAGACGTAGTACAGACGTCAGTGCCAATAAAGATGGGTGCCAATCAGGGCAAGATGTAGTAGTAGTATAGACGTCAGTGCAAGATGGGTGCCAATCAGGGTAAGTAGTGTAGACGTCAGTACAAGATGGGTGCCAATCAGGGCACAAGACCAGAATAAGGAAGACACAATCACCCAGGACCAGGTGGACGGCACAGAACAGACAAGGAATGGCCGACCACATAGAACACACCAGGAAGACCAGGACCACAGACTGCCAAAGATGGCACAAGATGCCAACCCCAGTGGACAGCCAGTGGATGGAAAGACCATGGACTGCCAGGTGGATGGAAAAGACCAATGGACGGCCAGTGGATGGAAAGACCATGTGGTGGTGGACAAGCCAGTGATGGACCAGGGTGGACAAACAGTGGATGGGAAAGACCAGGGGACAAGATGGTAGCAGACAAGATGGTGCCAACTTAGGGACACACAGGGTGGTGGACGGGAAGGGGTGGACCGTCAAGATCGGCGCCAATCATGGCCAAGTAGACCGAAGATAAGGACGATAGACCCAGGACGGACCAGACAAGATGGGCAACGGTGGACAAGGAGGACCAAGGACAAAGATGGCACCAGTGGAAGATGGTGACCCATCGTCAACCACGACCCAGGCAGACCACGACCAACACGACCAGACGGCCAGACAGCAACCAGGACCACCGATCGCCGACCACCGGCACAGACTGGCGGACAACGACCAGGACCACGACGAACGACCACGACCACGGCCAACCAGACCAACGATCGGACCCACGGAGGATCACACAAGATGGCACGAAGGACAAGATGGAAGCAATCAGGTGGAGACGCCACGGATGGTGCACCAGTGATCACAAAATAGTGGTGGACACAAGATGGAACACCAGGTGGACAAAGGCACCAGCACCAGGGTACGACCAGGATCGGCCAACACAAGACCCAGGACCGGCCACACGACCCCAGGAAGACCCAGGCCACAAGATGGCCAATCAGACACGAACAGACAAGATCGGACCACAGACAGCACCAAGACGCCAGGACCGGCCAACACGACCACAGACGGAATAACACAGACGACCAGGACCCAGTGACCAGATCACACAAGACCACAGGACAAGAATGGATACACCCTCCCCCAGACACAGACCGAGAGATAGAGAGACACGCACGCACGCACGCACGCACGCACACACACACACACACACATGCATGCATACAGACATACATATGCACGCACACACGCGCGCGCACACACACACACACACACACACACACATACACACATACATACATACATACATACATACATACATACATACATACATACATACATACATACATACATACATACATACATACATACATACATACATACATACATAACATGATATAACGCATGCCGTACTTCAGGTCAATAAATAGAGCAGGAGAGGGGTGGTGTGAGCTCATGCAGACGAAATGCCAGCTTGCAGATTTTTATAAGTCTTGCTCCAGATAAGGTATGTAGATAAGATCAAACTTAGCTTCCAAAAATATCTGGGAAATAATTCAAATTCACACAATTGGATGTTTAAGGAGCTCACATTGATGCATCGAGCCGTTACATATTTGGCCTTTTTTATGATTGGTTGGTTATTTTACCGTCTTAGGCAAGCCATTGTGCTACTGTGTGCTTTGATGAAACGTCAGCTCGGTTGCTCATACAAGATTATAAGGTTTCATAAACCCTATACACCTAATCTATGGATGCGTATCAGTGCCACAATTTATTATATCAAGCATATGCTGTGAAGATGTAAGCCGCATCATCTTCGCATTTGGTTAAATACTTTAGACAAATCCACTTCCATACAAGTCTCTTATCCGGGTGGCGTGATTGTTTAGTTATATTTATATGAGTGTTCTAAAGATACGAGAACAGCTGATCTAACACAGTAGAAAGTAATGAATCCTTCATAGAATGTAACACATGTTGTATTTGTGATTGCATTTTCTCGGGAAAAATCCTATTTCTGGAAAGAAACGTTTTTACTCAATTTTCAAACTGAGTTTGCGATTTGAAACAGCTGAGTTTCTAACTCAGTTGCATTTCTAAGACCAATAAGCCAGGCAAACTCGAGTAACAAATCTGCCAAGCTCAGATTGTCTACTAAGTCTAAGTTCAATATCATTTTCAGCTTATTCTGCGAAATGCATTTTTTCCTGTGTTTTCTTAAACTTAAATGAAAGCGCAGACTTAAAGTTTGTTTCGAGAAATCGGGGCCAGATTCTAGTACTTTTGATGGCTTGAGAACCATTCGATTTGAGTTCGATTCAGATTCGAACCCACACTTTCAGAGTCAGGCACCTAATCGCCAGCACAAAAAGTCAGCCATCTAACCCTCTCACCACCCGCGGCTTCATAGGTTGTTAAGCAACGACTATTGCGTACACCAACAACTCAGATAGTGTTGATAAAATGCTTGTCGCTTGGGGCGACTATTGGGTGGTCAGGCTCGCTGACTTGATTGACACATGTCATAGTGTTAAGGTTGGGTAGATCGATGCTCACGATGTTGATCACTTGATTGTATGGTCCAGACTCGGTTATTTACAGACCGCCGCCACATAGTTGGAATATTGCTGAGTGCAGCGTTAAGAAACAAACAAATCTTTGTACATTCGACTGGAGCACCGAATAGCATTAATTTGTGTCTTTACTGGAACCATTCTTCAAGAAATATCGACCGTGTCATCAACAGATATGTATCAACCGCCTTTAACATCACTGGCGTGTTTTCTCATACGTATTGTTATTCTCATATCGACACAACGTGAATGAGTGAGTTTAGTTTTACGCCGCTTTTATAAGCATTATTCAACCAATGTCACGGCGGGAGACAGAAATGGGCTTCACACATTATACCCATGTAGGGAATCGAACCCGGATATTCGGTATGCTTTAACAAGAAGGTT